CACCAATTTCTCTAAACGAAACACTATCTACAGATTTGCATCGAAGCATTTTTTATGATAGTGAATTTAATCACTGTCAGATATCATTATACATAGTCCAACTATGCTACGTCACCACTGTGCTGGGTTTTAATTTGTTTATTGTACCCTTGTGCTCAAAGTTTTCGTGCCCTTGTACGCCACTAGTGATTGGACCCTGACCATCACTAAATATCTACATTTCTGTAGTCGCTTTTTCGCCATCTGTTCTTATCTGCCATTACGTGTGTGGATCTACACTCTGACTCGTTATACTCAGATGTTCGATACCATTACCACAAGATCTCATACAGTCCACTCATTACTATCAACAACTTCATCTATTCAGCTGAGTTTATATTATTTTTAATGTTATTTAATGTTTTTTAATGTAATTGTTTGTTTTAATTGAGATTAACTATTTTGTTTTATGGCGCTTCGACGACCATTAGTATTTAAGGGCCTCCTTAAATTTAAGATACTCTCTGAAGAATTTCTAATTTATGTGGTTATTTGTTATTTAATTATTGTCTACTCTCGTTACTTATTGGATGTACAGTTAGCCTTCATCCCACAAGTGACCCATTCCCGCTTCAATAATGGCCATTTAAACAAGCCTAAGGTAAAACGGCATTCTAGTGTGGTGGTGTACAACTAGCCGTCCTACGGTCTAGCTACCTCGTACAAAACAAATGTATTCTAATCATAAGAATAGTAAAATTAAGTTACTACGCGATACTTAATATTGATACACAGATATTTATTTTCAAATATAAATNTGTATTCTAATCATAAGAATAGTAAAATTAAGTTACTACGCGATACTTAATATTGATACACAGATATTTATTTTCAAATATAAATTAGTTTGTAGTTTAATTTTGGTTAAGAAAGACTATTTTTTGTACTTGTATTGAATTACTTATAATCATTAAAAGTTTTGTAATAAATATTTTGATACATTAACTTTGTTGTATATAACATTATTACGATGAAGGTGAAGAGTTTTTTTCGTTGATTAGCAACATTATTTAAATGTTGTGTTTCGGAGAATAAGAAGCATAATAGAAGCGGTAATGTATCTTAGTTCAATCCAGCTCAGATATTTTTTTAACGAATAATATTAAAATACATACAAAAAACCCAGCACAGGGGGGTCGCGGCACAGTAGTGACGTGGCATAGTTGGATCAAGTATAATGATATCTGACAGTGATTAAAATCACTATCATAAAAAACGATTCGATGGAAATCTTTAGATAGTGTTTAATTTAAAAAAAAATGATGGATTATTCCAAAAACTACATGATCTGCTAGTTCCTTATTAATATCCTGATTAAGATAAAGTATGTCGAATAAAAAAGAGATATAAATATTAATTCTCATAAAAAAATTATGTTGATCCATACACTTTTCAATATGTCATAGCATTATAAAGTTAAAAATGAAAAAAATAAAATCAAGAATTATCACACAATAATAGCATTTGGTAGCCATTTTCAGCATAAAGACAAAATAAAGTCCGAAATTTTTTTTTTGCATAATAAAGTAAATTACATTAGCTTTAATTTAAGATATATATAAAAGTGTCAGACTTTCCGGAACACTTTCAAAATTTAAGTTGAAAAAGTAAATTTTTTGTAAAAAAGTTGTCATTTTCAATCCTCCCCTGTGGGCAGGTAAAGGGTCAGATATGAAAAAAAAATATACTAAATAATAGGTAAAGACATCATGCATCTATAAAAAAAAGAATTATATTGATCCGTACATGTTTTAAAAAGTTATAGCATTATAAAGTTAAAAATATAAAAAAGAATTTTTAAAAAAAATCGTATTTTTTTTATTAACTTTGATGTCTGTTTTCACCATGAAGATAAAATAAAGTCCGAAATTTTTTTTACAATAATAAAGTATATTACATTAACTTTAATTTAAGATATATATAAAAGTGTCAGACATTCCGGAACACTTTCAAAAGTTAAGTTGAAAAAGTTCTACTTTCTACATGCATTTTTTAGATTTAAACCCCCCTCAAATATAGGGAAATGGTCCGATTTAAAAAAACAGTATGTCGAATAAAAGATTAACTTCTATTTCTTTAATTATATCCAGATTAGTAATTCTTAGATTCAAAAATACAATTTATAATTTTTATATATATTAAAAAAAAATTTATTTATTACCATAACTCTTAGCTTAACTTGCAAGTTTGAAATTGACATCATTAAATAGAAAAAAATGGTATTGTTAAGATTAATATGCAGTCAGGAAATTTTATAATTCACTATATACAATAAATTTATCAAGATTTTTTTTTTGCATTTTTAACGTATTAGATCACTTTAATTGAAATCATAGTAATAATTTCTAATTAATTTTAGATGTTTAAAAAGATTCTACAATTGAAATATGTAGATCTGAATTAATTTTAATCATTTACTTTAACTAAAAAACTTATCAAAATGTTAAAAAATCTACTTTTTATTTTAAAATCTAATTCAACGATAAATACTTCAAAAATATTAGAAATTAATGATTTTAATTGTTTGTATGGAGAATGCTGGTTAAGATACTTTTTATTTGATTAAGGGATTTTTTTTTTAATTTTTGAGGGTATTATCTACAACTAAATACGAATTATAATCATTTGACATATCATTGAAAAAAGTAAGTTAAGTGATGGTTGGAAAAATAAATCGCAGCCACAAAAAAAAACACATAGTAAAATAATATTAAAATGAATAAGAAATTTCTTCTCATGAGGGGAGACTACAGTGATGAGATCCTTGATATTTATTGAAGTTAATGAATCTAAATGAGATAAAAATCAAATGTGTCACTGGTAAATATGAACCTCGTACCCGAATCGTGAAAGATACAAGTGTTACCAATTCGGCAACTGTTCGTCGCTTTCGTTGTTTGATAAAATTGGCAATTTAAACTACTTAAAATTTTAAAGTTACTTTTTTGACTTTAAAAAAAACAAACAAATTTTAATAAGTTTAACTTTTTATGTCTTATGAACTTTATTCTATGTAAATTAAATTATATAATATTCATGAAAGTCAGTGTATTTCCCTTGAACGATATTTTAAAATAAAATAAAAAACAGAATTTTAACACAAATATAGCATATTTTTGAATACGGTAGCCATTTTCACCAAGAAGAAAATCTATATTTCGATTTTTTTTCATAGTAAAGTATATAATATAAGCTTTAATTTAAGATTAAATAAAAGTGTCAATATTTCCAGAACATTTTCAAAAATTACATTGAAAAATCTTAACTTGTGTGCAAAAATTGATTTTTGAATTCCTCCTGTGGGCAGGTTTAGAGTAAGATTTTCAAAAAAATTATATCAAATAAAAGAAAACTATCTAAGTTTTAAATATAAAGATTACATTTTTCGTTAAATTCAATGGCCATTTTCCTATAAAAGAAAAGGTGTGGGAACAAATTTTTTTTTTTGAACTTATAGTATTTATTGTAATCTTTAATTTGACATATATTTTAAGGACGCAGTAATTTCAGTATTTAAGTTGAAAAAGTTCTACTTTTTATATGTATGTTTCAAGTTTTAAACGCCTCCTGTATAAAAGGAAATTGTCCAATTTAAATTAAAAGTATATTAAATGAAATAGGTATATATATATTGGTATTCAGAAAAAAAAATTTGTGTTGATACATACATTTTTCTAAAAGTTATAGCAATTTAAACTTGAAAATATAAAATCGAAAATCAAAAATTTTAACACAAAAATAGTATGTTTTTAACCTACGGCAGCTATTTGCACGTAGAAGATAAGTCGTCGGGACAAATTTTTTTTTTTCATTTTATAATACATAACATAAGCTTTAATTTGATATATGTTTAAAGGACGCAGTATTTCCTGAACAATTTCAAAAGTTAAGTTGAAAAAATAATGAATATAACACTTAGCCTGTTTTCATCCAACTATATATTGTTATCAGCTACTGAAATAATCCAGTAATTTTGCTACCAAATATGTTTTGAAGTTCTATGTATGTTTAACGAATTTTATTTTGTTATTATGTTGTGCTTTTATTATAAGTATTTAAAGTAATATCTTATATAACATGTAAAATTAATATAGTATAACAAATTTTTGGAATATGTAACGCTCTCTAGCGTTATTAGTTATCAATATAAGGCGGTAACCACTGATTGTATATGATAAGAAATTATTACAAAGGGATTGCTAACTTCATAGTCGTAATATTTTACAGTAGGATTTTATAATTCAATGATAAAAATAAATAGAATTCATATTAAATTCCCGCCTAAAAACATAAATATGATAATGTATTTAATGTTACAAAAATCAGTCCGTGATGTTTGTTACAGTTTAGTTTTAACGAATACTCTTATATGTTTTCATCATTTTAATATTCATATACGAAATCAAATTATATTTACTGTAATACTAAATTTATTTTTAAATACTATATAATCATGAGTTTATGGGCTGACAAATATAGACCTCACAATTTACAAAAAGTGGATTACCACTTAGCTCAAGCTCAACATTTAACCAATTTAGTAAGTTCATACGAGGTGTGATCAAAAAATACCGGACTGTGTTAATAATATTTATATCAATTAAGATAACGAAATCCCGATAATTTAATTCGATAAAGTAACTTCTAACGAGAATTTGAGCATTGGTTTGAAATCGATAACAATATTTATTTTTATTTTATGGCATTTTTACGAAAACATGTTTCAGTCATGTTCCTCGTCTCTTAACCAATGAACAAAAACAAAACCAAACAAATTTGGCTGCGATTCGACTCATGCCCAATTCTTTGGTTAATATTTTTTGGCAAGAACCATAAGATATTCTGACGTCTTCTGCAACTTCTCTGATAGTTAATCGACGATTATTTTGAATAATTTCACGAACACGAGCAACAATTTCATTTGTTTTACTGGTCGATGGTCTACCAGATCGTTCGTTATCCTTAGTGGATGACCTACCTTCCTTAAACCGTTTAAACCACTCAAAACATGTTGTCCGAGACAGAACATCATCTCCAAAAGCTTGCTTCAAAAGTTTAAAAGTTTCACTAGAACTTTTCCCTAATTTAAAACAAAATTTTACACACACACTTTGTTCTATTGTTTCCATTTCAAAAATCGACGCATGACTGAAACATGTTTTCGTAAAAATGCCATAAAATAAAAATAAATATTGTTATCGATTTCAAACCAATGCTCAAATTCTCGTTAGAAGTTACTTTATCGAATTAAATTATCGGGATTTCGTTATCTTAATTGATATAAATATTATTAACACAGTCCGGGTATTTTTTGATCACACCTCGTATATGTATTTAATTAACTACAATTATTTTATGTAATTTTAAATTAGTTAATGTACTTGATCATAAATATTTCTTATAATGTCTAAAAACATTGAATATAGTTTACTTTAATGGATTATATGAAATGTTTTGTTTAAAAAATGCTCCTTTCTCACTTGAACGAAGAAAAAATATTAATATACATATTCTCAGAAAAAATTATTAAATACAAAAATTTTCCTAATATTTTGAAATACTTTTTTTTTTAAAAATCACTTATTTTTATTAATGTTCTAGAGAATTGTTAAAAATCATAAAATGAAGCAATCTATAACTCTCTAACATGTGAAAGAGGGCCACCACCCTCTGTAGCATGTAAAGTTTGGGAAATAGAAGGATGTAAAACTGATTATTATGTAGTTTACATAAAAACATAGCATGAATATACAAAACTAATTTATTATAATGCTGACCTCCAAAACAAAGATGAAGTTTATGATAATTTATCTTTTTTATAGGTAAATCAGGGAGATTTTCCTCATTTACTTTTTTATGGACCAAATGGTGCTGGTAAAAAAACCCGTATTCTTGGTTTATTGAGACAATTATATGGTGCTGGTGTTGAAAGGCTACGAACAGAACACATGAATTTTATGGTATTTTTAATTATTTACTGTAGTATTTTGTTTTTCATCAATACTTCATACTTCATACTTATACTTTACACATACTTATAATATATTAAAATTATATTTGACTATCAAACAATAATATTATTATTAAACAATAATAATGTTTAGTTGCTTCTTGACTGTTAAATATATTTTAATCAAGAGTATAATTTTAGTAAAAACTATTCAATAATTAATTTACATTTAATTATTATTGAATAGTCTTTATTGACACCATTTGAATTTTTTAATTATCTATTATAATTTTCCAGACTCCTTCAAATAAAAAATTCGAAATTATGACTGTGGCTAGTAATTACCATATTGAAGTGAACGCTAGTGATGCTGGTATGTATGACCGCATTGTAATAATGGAACTTATAAAAACTGTAGCTCAAACTCATCAATTAGATTCAACTAAACAAAGACATTTTAAAGGTATTATTTACATATTATTAATTATAGTATTAAAAATATCAATACATAATTATTATTTAAAAATGCTAATTTTCTAAATCCTCTTTTCCATCATAGTAATTCTTTTAACTGAAGTTGATCGTTTAACAAAAGAAGCACAACAAGCTCTACGTCGAACAATGGAAAAATATATGGCTACTTGTCGAATTATTTTATGTGCTAATTCTATTGCTCAAGTAATTCCTGCTATAAAGAGTAGATGTTTAGCAGTGCGTGTGCCAGCACCTACTCATGAAAACATTTGTAATATACTTAAAGTCAGTTATTTTTATTAATCTTTATTACATAAATATCTTATTAGTGTCATTGAACAAAAAAATAAATCACAAAATAAACTTTATTCAATTTTTTTGTTATTGTTATATTTTGTTACAAAGAATATATGCAAAAAAGAAGGATTAAGCATACCTGATGAATTAGCTGTACTTATATCTCAAAATTGTGAGCGTAATCTTCGACGTGCTATTCTAATGTTAGAAGCTAGTAAAGTTAAACAGTAAGTATTATGTTAAACTAATTATAATAATAAGTATATAATTAAATAAAACTAAACTGATTACCCATTACATAAAATTGATTATTTCAACGTTCACAAATATTTAAGTCAATATAGCAAAGACTTAACAACTTTTCTTAAATAATCTATATTTTATCTTTAATATAAAATGTTATATGATAGTTTTTTAATCATCCCTAATTTAATAGGCAACTTTTCTATTTAGTATCAATTATTGTCCTAACACAATTACATTTTCACTCGTCAGGAATAGAAAAAATATCCTTACTACCCTTATATGTACATACATATTTACTAATACTTTTAAATCAAGATGCTACATGGTTTTTTTTTATTTTTTAATTCATAGGTATCCATTTGATGTTGCACAGAGTATAGTGATACCTGATTGGCAACTTTACATTGAAGAAACTGCTAAGCAAATATTAAGTCAGCAAACTCCAGGAAAATTGTTAGAAGTTCGGTCAATGTTATATGAATTAATTGTGCATGGTATTCCTACTAATGTGATATTTAAGGTAAATTATATTACAGGGTATTTCACGATTTTTTGAGAAATAAAATAATTTTTGATCTACTGAATATTTTGCATTTTTTTATTATTATTATTATACATTAAGACTATAAAAAAAAAATTGTTTCAATTACAGATGCCCAATCGAATGATAATTTTTATAGAAGAAACTATAACTTTAAACCTATACTTAATGTGAAAATATGTTTAACTTCTATCCTTTTCTTACTTATATATATATATATCTTTTGTTACAGTAAATAAACATTAAAATATTTAAATTTTCACAAACTTAAAATACTATAAAAAATTTTATACTAATCATAAATATTTTTTTACAGAATTTTTTTTTACATTTTTTGCAAATTTAAAAAAAAATGTTTTTAATAAATTAAGATAATATAATTTTTGATATTTTTATAGTCCTTTAATGTAATTATTATATTTACAAAAAATGAACACAAAATATTTAATAGATCAATTGTTATTCGATTTTTCAAAACATTTTTATTATACTGTAAATTATTATGGTTTGTTGATTTCTCATTACTGTCTTAATTATTAAAATATTTTTTATTTAAGCATAAAATTGACTTGTTGTATTAAGTATTGGAGATGTTTCAAGTACTCAATTCTTCAAATAAAAGCCAGGACTCTAGCTTTACCCAGTACTTAATATACAAGCATTTTTTACCTGACTTTTACCCTGTAGTCAGATTGTGTTTATATTTACTTTCTGGAACTCTTTACTTTCTGTTAATATGTATTTTAATCAAATATGCTCTATTTTCAGTTTTTATTGAAGGAATTAGTGAAAAATTGTGATATGTCATTAAAACATAATATTGTTGAAATAGCCTCTCATTATGAACATTGTCTTTTAAAAGGTAACAAAACTATGTTTCACTTAGAAGCTTTTGTTGCCAAATTTATGCTACTATATTCTAAATTTATGGAAGAATCATTAGGTTGTGTGTTTTAACCTTTAAAATAAAATAATTTGAATGTTAAGCATTATTTTTTTTTTTTTTCTAAAATTATGTAACATTAATAGTTTTCATCCACATGTAAGCATAAAAATTCTAAAAAACTTAAAAAAATGTGTTATATTCCTTTTTCTTAAATAATTTTTTTTTCATAACTATGTAAAAATAATTTTATGTATATTATTAATAATTATATTTCCAAAACTTCATTACAACTAATATTACATATATCCAAACCTATCTCTATCCTAGATAAGAATATTGTTTTGTGGTTCTACATAATATAATTTTAACATAAGAGAAATTGAAAATCTCAATAAAAGCGTAGTTAAAATTTTAAAATCAATATCAGTTTGATTTGAACCAGTTTTATTGAATGTGATATGAGGATAGTTGATGTGNTATCAGTTTGATTTGAACCAGTTTTATTGAATGTGATATGAGGATAATTGATGTAAGCGTGAATGATGTGGGAGATAGTGTCAAGTGGAAGTCTAGGATAAGGGTGGCTGATCCCAAGTAGTTGGGATTAAGGCGAGGAAAAAGAAGAATGCCAGTTTAATTATAGTTCAGAATAATACTCAACCATATAAAATTTAACAGTAATTAATCCAAATTGTTCAATTTGACTACATGTAGTAGACTTCACTCATTAAAATTTCATTTACATTTTTATGGATATTTTGTTAAATAATTGAATTATAATTCCTAAATTACCTATTAAAATAACCCTCCTAATGAATGTTTAATTGTTAAAAATAATATATTTTAACCTATAATTAATTCAAAAGAATAGGTGGCTCTTCTACTTATTAAAGGATTAAATTAGAAGTCTACAACCAGATTTTAAAGTTAGAAACTAAAATTTTGGGTTTCAAAAGTTTCTAAGTCTATAACATATTTTCAACACCTAGAGTAAAGTTATTTAGTCATTATAATATCTATTAAGAATTTAGGAAAAATTAAAAAAAATTATTAGTATAACGCTTATATTTAAATAAAAAAATTTTTTTAAGTATGTCAATTATAACATTTGTTATTAATTAATTGCAGTATACCACTAAAATTAATAGAGAAAAATATAGTCACGTTACAACAGAAAAAGAATTTAATTTTTAATTAAAATAAGAATTGTTTATTAAATTAAAAATACAATACATGTGAAAGAAACTAAAAACTAGTTACACAATGTACTATGATGAACTTGTATAAACTCTATAAGAAAAAATGCTTTGTTATATTTATAAAATAAATTTAGAAATACTTAAGATTGTTTGTAAATCTATTGGTCAAAGTTTATTGAGGAGGTAAAAAATACTATCAAAGATTTTTTTTTCATATAAAACAATGGTAAAAAAACTGAGATAGATGTTAAAAGTAATATTTTACAATTCAATAAAAGAAAAACACCCAAATATATTAGGAATATCAGTCAGAATAAATGACATATTAATTTAACTTAATTTACATGTTTAAGTTCAACTTCAAATACTAATGTACTATTAGGTGGAATTTCTGGTGGACTTCCTTTAGCACCATACCTGTAGATAAAACAAATATTTAAGGTTAATGTATTTCATCATTTCAAACTACGATAATAATTCTTCACAGTTCATAAAAATAAAATATACCAAAATTAGTTTTTAATCTATAATTAAGGGTTGAGATTAATGTGTATATACAGAGATGATTTTGATAATAAAAGTAATATAAAGTACTAATAAATAAAAAGTAATTAGATTTGTCAAAATATCAAGAACTACACTTAATATATATACAAGTTGGAACGGATCTAAATGACAATTCATATAACTTATGATCAACATAACATTTTATACTTTATTTTTTTTTAATCAATTTTTACTATATAGAACTATATTTAAAATATGTTTTATGTTATTTTTCGCAATTACAAAAAATATTTTAAAAATTAATTTTTTTATTAAAATTTTTTTTAAGATTTTAAGATAGCCTTTTATAGATAAGTTTTAAAGAAAAATTTTATACAATTTTCCAATAGTATCAAATGTCAGTGTCCATATTATGTACAGTACAGAAGTAAAAACTTATTACATTATTTACTGGTAACAGTACGCAATTTATTTATTTTTTGTAATTGCGAAAAATAACATAAAACATATTTTAAATATAGTTCTATATTGTAAAAATTGATTAAAAAAAATAAAGTATAAAATGTTATGTAGATCATAAGTTATATGAGTTGTCAGTTAGATCCGCCGTTCCACCCTGTATAAATGATAAATTCAAAATAATAAATTATATTTTAATATTTTATATTTGAAAATATTTATAATATTAAATATTTAATAAAAAAATCCAGTGGGTGTTATGAGTAAATGCGAATGAAGTGAAATTTCTTTTGTTATCGCGTAAAAATTGCATCTTTACAATTTACAATTGTGGATTCATTAATATTTTTTTATGCACAATCAAAATAATTTGTAATTAAATTATTTAATACCTTTTAAATAAAATTACTTTAATTTTCGAAAATACAGTTTTAAATTATAAAAAGAATATACTTTACAGCCAATCGTGACGGCCAAACGATACAGCCCTCAATAATCTGTTTTTTCAGACCATCTATTAATAAGAAGTTTCACTTCAAAAATATGCAATTTTTCTAAATATATAAATCTATACATTTTAATAATGTATATGATACTATTTAAACTATCCTAACTTTAACACTCTATAATATATAATTATTACTTTAATATTTATAATTTGAACTTACGCCATGTGAGGTGGACAAACAACTTTTCTTTTTCCACCAACTTTCATTCCAGCAATACCAATATCCCAACCTTTAATCACTTCACCACGTTGCAATCCAAATTGAAATCCAGCTCCCTTTTGCATAGAATCAAAAACTTTACCAGTTGATTTCAAGCGACCAATGTAATAAACTTTTACCTAAAAGAAATTACATCAATTTTCTATTAAGATAAAATAATTGATTATTATTTAAACTAATCAAAACTAAAGCCCAACACAGACCAAAAAATATGAATTTAACCCAACCCAAAATATTTTTTAGATGTCTGATCAATCCAGAGCCTGGTACAATAATTAAAAAATAAAATTAATCCCACAATATATATAAATAGTATATATATAATAATATACTTCTAATTTTGCAATTTTATTTTTATATTATTTAATTAATTGTTTGGGCTATCCATTAATTTTGCTAGCCCAATCTTATCCTCAATTGTTTCACCCCTAATCCAACTCCGATGGGATTAGATTGTTTCATATAAAACATTAGCCTTTAATTGTAGTAATTAAAAATAAATTTTTTTTATTTAATTAACAAATCTCAGAACTTACATTCTTTCCAGGTTTTGCAACAGCACCATCACCAACTTTTAAATCTTGAATTATTACCCCACCATTTAATTTTTGCTGTTGATTTTGTTTATCTTTTGGCAATGGAGTATCTGGTTTAGTTTTTCCATCAAGAGGAGTTTTGGGTTCTTTATTTTTTTTTTTCTTGCTGCTTTCTGTTGTACCCTTTAATTAGAAACAATATCATACTTCCATATTAAGATTAAACACAGTTAAATGGCTTTGTGTAAAACAGGGTTACTCAATTTTTGTCAAGATTAGTTTTGACAATTAACCAATTTAAAAAGTAATTATACTAAGCCAAAATTCAACTAATTCAGTTAAAATAAGAAAATATGTCTAAATCCAAAAAATAAAGATTTTTTTATCATTCGTTAATAGTCTTTAAAAGTCTATTTTTTCTTCCCCAAATTTTTTTTGGTAAATAGAAACTGTATTACATAAATATAGTAAGCTTTACATATTTTTTACTGTACATTTAACATTGATTGATTAGCATCAGGTGTTTTTGGTAATGGAGTCTTCTGATTTTTAGGTGTTTTTTGGTCTTTTTTTGGAGTTTTTTGCTCATTTCCATTGGCTTGTTTTTTTGGTGTTTTTTGTTGATCGGCTTTAGGTTTTTTCTTAATTGGTTCTTCATCTTCACTATCATCTTCTTCCTCATCATCCAAATCTTCATCATCAGAATCTTCTTCAGCTTCGTCATCAAGTAAATCACTGACTAATAAGATATATATATATATATACAAATTAATTAGTTTAAGATTATTCATATAAAATATATACTAATTGACAAACAACAAAATCAAAATGAAATTTAACATAATGATTTACCATTTAAACCTTCATCATCATCACTGTCATCTTCAAAGTCCATAACTTCATCATCACTGTCATCTTCATCAGATACATTGTCATCATCTAACTTCATTGATTTAATTTTTTTGGGAGAATTTTGCTCCAATTTTCGCTTATTTCCTATTGGAATATTTAAATATATAAAATAATCATTTATATTAAAAATTTTGTTTTAGCCTTGTAGAATAGTAATTATCAATTTATAAATGGCTAAATACTTTTTAGATCTGCATTCTATTTTTCTTATAAGGGTACAAACTTCTTTTTAACAGCAACATAAATATTTAACTAGCATATTAAATAAAAATTATTGGCTTATTAAAAATTATAACACAATGTACAACTATTTAATTGTTAGGTATACCTTAGTCACAAGCCTCCTCTGCCTAGGTATAAAAATGCTAATAACTCCAAAGAATTTGTCCCAAATTTGTTATCAGCATGTCATTTTAAACTAGTAAAATATGTATGTTACTATTTAAAAATATAAAGTTGGTACTCTTTAAAAAGACAAGAGATGGACCTAAAAGTATTTAATTACTTAAACCTTAAGAGTTAAATACTATTCAAAGTCAAAAAAAAATATTATCAAGAATATTTTAGAATAAATTTAGTGGTCCAACTAATTCAACCACTCTGTGTGTATGTATATGTACATATATATATAGACTATGAATAAATTGCTTATGACTGCATCCTATAAAGAAATTAATAAGTCTAAATAGAACCAATAGTAAATGTTTTGTTTTTTATTAAACTTTTTCTAATTTAATGATAATTTATAACACAGCAGTTATTATATAAATATGCCTTTTAAGTAGATCTCTAATTAGTTGGTCTTTGCATTTTTAATTTTATTAAAATAATAAAAGGCATTGTTGTTTAAATAATACCTTGTTCTTTTTTATTTTTTTTTAAAACAGGAGAATCTTCAATTTCTTTGTCCTCAACATCATCATCACTTTCCAAATCAGAATCAAATTCATCAGACACTTCTAAATATCCTAAATATTTAAAAAAAATTATATTATCATACAAAAATTGTTATATTAACTATGTATTCTATACCTGTTAGGTGAATATTTGCTGAAGCAGTAGTAACAAATGTTAAATCAGTTCCTTGTAAGAATATATGATTTAAAGGACATTGAAAAAGCTTAGACCCTTTTGATAAGTGGCAAAGAATTACTCGAGGGTTATTATCAGTTTCTACATAAATTGTATGAACATCATCAGCTAAAAAATAAATGGTTATTTACAATATATCTAACACATATCAAATATTTTCTGGAAATTGAAACACAGTAAATAATAATGCATAAAATCTACAAATAAAACAAATACAAAATTTAGAATAAAAAAATAAGGTGAATTACTTACAATTCTTTACTGTTTTTAAATCAAGTGTGGCCATAGACAAACGAAATGAGTTTTCTACAACTGTACTGTATTTCTTACCAGGTTCTAAAACTATACCTGTTGAAAAAAAATAACACGTGATTTATTATCTAATAATAATAAAAAAAATCATGATTTCACACAATTCAGATATTTAAAAACACATTTTAAATATAAGGACATGATAAAATATAAATTAGACATATTCACACGTGTTTTTGCGATTTTGTAACAATTGAATACTTACTCCAAAACATTTTTAAAGTTGATTTAAAACAAAATTACTCAAATTATATAACTAATAAACGTATCAATTAACAAAATTAAAATTTGAATCAAATTATTAAATTAAAATTAATAAATTATGCAATGAAAGAAATAACGTGACTCCAATACTGACTGTATGAATTTCAAACTCTTCCACAGAAATCAAAGAAATATATAATGTGCCACCTTCATAGGCGGTAAACGATGTTAAGCGGTAATAGTGGTAGGATGAGAGGTTGATACAAACATAATTTTTCCGTAAATGCGTTAATAAAAAGTTAAAACAAATACAGTGTGACCAACTTATTAAACGTTTTCATAGATAAGATATTACCAAATTCTTATAAATGATGCCTGTGTACATAGTCCTACCAAATGGGCTACATTATAATACTTAGAATACACCTAAGTTTTTACTTTACAGAAATAAATTTATGTATCCCTATTTATGTGAAGTATTATGGAAATAAAATCATTTTTAAAGTGTCATATATTCATATCATTTATATATCAAGAAATTATCAGTATTATCCACGGTTTTATAAATACTAATAGAAAAGTTTAGAGAAAAAAAAAAGCTTTGTATGATATTTATTAATTTATAGATTTGGAGAAACCGTATGATAGAGTACCGAGGGAGGTTCTAAAGTGGGCATTAATGAGAAAAGGAGAGGTGCTGTGGTGCATGTTGTTGCTGACGATATAGTGTTAATAGGATAAAATAGGGAGGAAATTAATCAAAGGCTAGAGGCGTGGAGATCAGCTCTTGAAGAAAAGGGTTTAAGAATAAGTAGGAGTAAGACAGAGTATATAGAGTACGAGTTTGATAAAGGAGAACACGAGGTAAGTGAAACAAGGAGACCAGTGACAATAGGCGAGGACGTGATTGGAGAGGTGAAAAGTTTTAAGTATTTAGTGTTAGTTGTGAAAAAGAGCGGTGGTGTTGACGAGGATGTAAGACACTGAATTAAGTGCGGGTGGTTGAAGTGGAGAGAAGCATCTGGTGTCTTATGCGATAAAAAAATTCCAATGAGGCTGAATGATAAATTCTACAAGACTGTAGTGAAACCAGCTATGATGTATGGTTAAGAGTGTTGGGTAATTGATATGAAAGTAGATCAGAGAAGAGAATGCTTAGATGAATGAGTGGAATGACTAGAAAAGATAGGATAAGGAATGAGCATATAAGAAGGAGTATAGATGTAGCGTCAATCGTGGATAAGATGAGAGAAAATAAACTTAGATGGTTTGGTCATGTTATGAAGAGAGAAGAATCGGAAGCTGTAAAAACAGTTGTAGAAATGAATGTTGAAGGAAAAAGAGGTAGAGGAAGACCAAAAAAGAGATAGAGAGATGTTATTGAATGCAATATGAGGACAGCTGATGTGAGCGTAGATAATGTGGGAGATCGTGTCAAGTGGAAATTTAGGATAAGGGTGGCTGACCCCAAGTAGCTAGTGTTCGAGCCAGGCGACATAGCGTGGTGGAGACAATTAGTTCTTATCAGCCTTTTCCATCACCAACCTGTTGCGCCGGCGCTTGCCAAAAGAAAACCAGTTGTTGTTCCTATCTTTTTTTTTTTTGCTGTGATCAGTTACACAACGTAAATTAAGTGCGGCCTTTGAGTTTGTTGCCTGTTATAATTATTCTCCTTTTGTTATAACTAAAATTATTGGTGACCGAAAATATTGTTTGTTCGGCGGTATAATATTGCGGTTTTTTTGTAGCTTTATAACTTTATATTTTGTAGCATTAATTGTAATCACATTTTAAGCAACCCATAAGTACCAATATACAAGTACTATGGGTCCCACAAAATGAATATGCGTATAGGCATAATCAACTTATTACCTAATTACATAAATTAACGTTTATACTGCGACTGTACGTAATCAGTATACTAGTACTTTCTATACGCATGTTTAAAGGTTAGGAGGACCCCCGCTGTATAAAGGAAAAAGGTCCGATTTAAAAAAAAAGTATATCGACTGAAAGGGATATATAAAATGTACTTATGAAAAAATAAAATCGATTGATCAATAGATTTTTCAAAAAGTTATAGCAATAAAAATTGAAAAATATAATTTCAAGAATTTTTTCACAAAAATAGTATATTTTTTTATAAGGCAGTCATTTTCACCATGAGACAAGTCCAGAATCAAATTTTTTTTATAATTAAAGTAATTAGTAATAATAATAAGTAGTTACATAAGCTTTAATTTAGGATATATATAAGTGTATATGTATTTGTGGGACGATGTGACTGAGTCGGTAACGCGGCACTGCTTGACGTGCATTGTCTCGGGTTCGAAACTCAGTCACGAGCGGCTTCATTTGCTGAACGAAAGATCAGTTCGGTAATTGGAGTCGCCATTCCACTCTCTGGCGACGGACTAACCATCCGTCACGGAGAATAAATGGTTAAGAAAATCTCCTCTTGGGGTAGATAGCTATGGCCCTTAATGGACTAATAAAATCAAAAAAAAAAAAAATAAGTGTATATGTATTTCCGAAACATTTTCAAATGTTAATTTTTTGTGGAAAAGTTGCCATTTTGAAACCCCCTCCATGTAGCCTGATAAAAAGTATAATATTGACAAAAATATACTAAATGATAGGTAAATATCTAAGGTATCTAAAAAAGATAGCACAGTGGGGTCACAGCACAGGGGGGTACGTGGCATAGTTGGGCCAAGTATAATATTTGACAATGATTAAAATCACTATAATAAAAAACGCTTCGATGAAAATCTGTAGATAGTGTTTAATTTAAAAAGTTGATGGACTAATCCAAAATCTATATGATCTCCTATTTCCTTATTTATATATTTACAATGTATAAACATTTAAAAGGAAATGGTTTTACTTTTTAAAAAAAGTATGTCGAAAAGTATTGGTCCATACATTTTTCAAAAAGTTATAGCATTTTAAAATTAAAAATGTAAAATATAAATTCGAGAATTTTAATACAAATATAGAATACGGTATCCATTTTCACCGTGAAGAAAAAGTAAATCCTAAATTTTTTTTTCCATTATAAAGTATATTACATAAGCTTTAATTTAAGGTATATATAAAAGTATCAGTATTTTCGGAACACTTTCAAAAGTTAATTTTTCATGAAAAAAGTTGTCATTTTGAATCCACCCCTGTGGGCAGGTAAAGGGTCAGATTTATAAAAAAAAATATATCAAATGATAGGTAAAGACATCTTGCATCTATAAAAAAGTTACGACAGTTTGAAGTAAAAATGTTTAAATTTGTAATTATTTTTGGAGATTTCCCCCATTTATGACAAACTTTGACGTATCAAAAGAAATCGGTTCAGTGAGAGCTGAGAAAAAGTGGTGACACAAAAAAAAAACACATCATAGTTAAATTAATACCTTCTCAGTTAGACATCAAAGCTAAAAGTATTTATATTTATTCATTTTTAAAAAAGTTATGGCAGTTTTAAGAAAAAAATGTTAAAAATTACCAATTTAATCAACAAAAAATAGATAGACTTAAATTTGTGTATTGCTTATTTATTTTTATTACATTCATTTTCATTCTTTTATTGTTAATTGGATTATTATTCATTAACTGTATATAAATAAACGTAAATTTGTCATTAAAAAATTTAATTTAAAAAAACAAAAAAATGTTACAAAAAAAGTATTATCTTCAAATAAAAATAATAATTATTATAATACTAATTGTTTTACAATACACATTAATAACCTCCACGCAATCTAAGTACTAAATGTAATGTAGATTCTTTTTGAATATTGTAATCTGACAATGTTCTGCCGTCTTCTAGTTGTTTACCAGCAAATATCAATCGTTGTTGGTCTGGTGGTATTCCTTCTTTATCTTGGATCTTAGCTTTGACATTTTCAATTGAATCAGAAGATTCAACTTCCAGAGTAATGGTTTTGCCAGTAAGAGTCTTAACAAATATTTGCATTCCACCCCTGAGACGAAGAACCAAATGTAATGTAGATTCTTTTTGAATATTGTAATCTGACAATGTTCTGCCGTCTTCTAGTTGTTTACCAGCAAATATCAATCGTTGTTGGTCTGGTGGTATTCCTTCTTTATCTTGGATCTTAGCTTTGACATTTTCAATTGAATCAGAAGATTCAACTTCCAGAGTAATGGTTTTGCCAGTAAGAGTCTTAACAAATATTTGCATTCCACCCCTGAGACGAAGAACCAAATGTAATGTAGATTCTTTTTGAATATTGTAATCTGACAATGTTCTGCCGTCTTCTAGTTGTTTACCAGCAAATATCAATCGTTGTTGGTCTGGTGGTATTCCTTCTTTATCTTGGATCTTAGCTTTGACATTTTCAATTGAATCAGAAGATTCAACTTCCAGAGTAATAGTTTTGCCAGTAAGAGTCTTAACAAATATTTGCATTCCACCCCTGAGACGAAGAACCAAATGTAATGTAGATTCTTTTTGAATATTGTAATCTGACAATGTTCTGCCGTCTTCTAGTTGTTTACCAGCAAATATCAATCGTTGTTGGTCTGGTGGTATTCCTTCTTTATCTTGGATTTTAGCTTTGACATTTTCAATTGAATCAGAAGATTCAACTTCCAGAGTAATGGTTTTGCCAGTAAGAGTCTTAACAAATATTTGCATTCTTATATCTGAAAATAAAAGGTTTTAGTTAATTTAACAGTGGTAATTATTGTATGAAACTGATTTTCAGATTTTTAATGAAATTATGTTTTAAGATAATGAAAACTTTGATATATCCTCTATATTTCTATTATAGACAAAAATTAATAATAGAATTACAATAATTATTATTTTCTTAGTTTTATTTCAATAGTTTTAAAATACTTTCATAGTAACATTTGTTTAAAATTTCGAGATTTATCTTTGCATAGTTTGAACATGTTCTTTGACCTCTTCTATGACAAAAATATTTTTTTTCAAATCACATAATTGTTGGTTGAAATTTATACAAATATTTTTTATTTGATTCAAGTTATTCTCAGTATGATCAATACTAGAATCTTGTGATGCTAAAGCTTTTACACTTTGACTAATAATTTCATGACTTTTTGAACTTTTTTGCATCTGTTTAATAACTGATGACATATTATTTATATTCAGTTTTACTCGTTCACTCAACATGTTTTTAGAATCACCAAATAATGAACGAGCACTTGTACTAGATGCAGATGTCATTGTAAGTAAGTAGAAATTCAGAATGAGATCACAATGACCATCACCAAACATCAATCCTAAATAATATATTATACAGACTATACCATCTCATAAAATTTAATTTATACTTAATATTACTAATTTATATTTTATTTCAATAATAATGATTCTGAAATTATTCAATGTTCAAATTATAAACTTTATACACTACTAATGCACATAACGCTCAATATACGATCTGAGTGTAGCAGGTCAAATTTTTTTAATACTAGTTTATATTTACATGATATAATTCACCCAATTTTTCTAACCCCCATAACAACATTTCTTCTTAAGATACTTTTAAAATTTTATACATAGATAAGGCCCTAGTCATGTAGAAAACTGACTTATTCACTGTTAACTATCACTTTTTATGTTATGCTATTTAAAATTATAAGTTTCATAAAGTTTTCATTTTTGTTACTTTTTCGATAAATCATTAAAATTATAACACTTCCAGTATAGATATAAATGTACAATTTGTCATAAAAGTAGGTATATCCTAGTGTAAGTAAAGGAAAATCTTTATTTTCTCAAAAATTTTTACAGTTATATAAGAGCGTCATTTGAATGGCACAATCGCCTGTTCCGATTTTTTTTGATAGATCCTCAAAATTAGGTATTTTGTTAGTTTGACCCAGCAAATATAAAATATAATATGGCGACTATAATATGACTCCTTATATACACACGAAAAATACCAATCAGTAATGTCATGATTTTATATTTTTCACACTAGTAATAACTAACAAGATCACTAACTTTTGAATATTCAATTTTAATTGTTATTTAAATTTTCAATTATATGAATAATAATTAACTATAAGTCTTATAGAAGTCTATAAAGTATTGACTAAAGTGAATAAGATTAATCCAACTATACTAATTTTAATAAAACTTATAAATAAATATGTTACAATAAATATTAATAAATTTATAAATTACTACTTACAATTGCACAACTTTATTCAAAATTTATACGTGAAACGTAAGTAACATTCACAACTACGTTTGAAGAACAATGACGCTTCAAAAAATATTCCTTTACTCATATAGAGTAGGCAAAATCCATTAAAACTGTAGAGGTAAGGGACCTTAGTTGAAGATTAAATATCGCTCATTATTATTAGTTATTAGCTATTTGATCAATGCTTTTACAGTAAACATATATTTTAAATAATATTTGATGAAATATACATATTATAATAGTCATGTAAATGAAATATATATATATTTAACAAATAATGCGCATACATCACAAATCACTTTTCATTTAATAGTAATCTTTCATTATCTTTTGTTATAGTTAAGACTAGAATGGGTTTACCCAAAAAATAATTCTAGTTATAGATAACTAAATCGAAATTAACTTATACTCGTAAAATATATTAACTTAGGAGAAAGTTTTTTCTTACATTTATTGTGAAAAAATAATATTGCGATTTGCCGCGTATCTATCTTGTAAGAAACAAAATGTTGATATTTTTGATCTCTCAAAATTATTTATCTTTAGGTAGTAATTAAAGTTTAAATTAATAAAAATTATATTAACGATTATTTAAACATATTAATTTTAAATAATGAATATGTGATTTTCAATTAGGAAAACTGATTTACTCTTAATCGATTTTCTCTTACGCAATAAAGTGTTAAACATAATATGATCCCATATTTTTTAATTAATTTATCATTCAGAAAAATATCACACAAAAGTTTATTATTGCTTTTATTACAACGCATAAATGATAGCACGTTGGTAAATTTTAAAAATAAGTATAAGGTCATCTATTATGCTTTATTATAAAAGAATTTTAGCTGAAAGCTTACAAATAAATAACTACTCATATTTTATGCGTAGTTTCGTATTATAAAAAATCTTGATAAACGTGTAAATTAGATCACATATTAATGATGTTTTGTTAAAAGACATCTAAACAACGAACATTTTTGAGAAAAACGCACTATAAAATAAACATAAATAGTGTGATCAAAATATACGATAACCTCCCCTATAAGGATATTTTACAAAAATGCCAATAGCTCAGAAATAAACACTTATCAAAAAAATGTAGATGAGCACTAGTATTATAATATAAAATAATAAAACGCAATGAACTACTTAAAATTAATTTTTATAAAATGTTTATCGTGTTTGTTTTTTTTATTCAGAACAAAAAGTTGACGAGCAAAAATCTAAAAACTCTTAGTTTTATACTATTATAACTACTAGTATAACTTTTATACTACGGTAACTAGCAAATATTTTTTTTCAATATTAGTCATGCATTTAATAACAAAAAACCAATCAGTATAGCAAAAAAATACTACCCAAATAATTTATTTTTTGTAGTTTCGATATTACTGGCATATATTTAACTGTTATAACCTTAATAATATTAAATAAATAATTATTTATGCTGTTCTTACAAATAATATAAATAAAATATAAAGCTCAAAACCGAACTATGACAAGACAAGCGTGCAATTCATATCTGGTCTACTTTAAAACGATGAAATTTGAACTGGTTGGATTTCTATAAAGCTTAAAATTTTTAATTTTTTAGAATTTACGGTCATTACAACTTTTTACCTCAGGGCCGTTGTTCTCCTAGTCTATGCCTGACAACCTCCCTCTCAATAAGAAGAAAACATATCGATGAACATAAATCTTTCATTATTTAACAATTTTTGTATGACAACACAAAATTATTTTAATTTTTTTAAAATTAAAATTATATTGAAAATATTAATTTAAAACAAAAAACAGTAGCGCGGTGGGGTCGTGTCACAATATAGACGTGACATAGTTGGGACATGTATAGATGATATTTGACAGTGATTAAAATCACTATCATAAGAAACGCTTCGATGGAAATCTGAAAATTGTGTTTAATTTTAAGAAATTGGTGGATTAATCCAAAAGCAAAATTAACACCTATTTTTTGTTCTACTTCAAATGCCATTTGAACACAGAAAATAGATCGTCGGTATTTTTTTTTGAACTTCTAGTACATAAAATAAGCTTTATTTTAACATATATTTAAAAAACGCAGTATTCCCGTAACATTTTCTAAAGTTAAGTTGAAAAAGTTCTACTTTTTATACAAATTTTTAAGTTTTCAAAAATTTAGAAATACTTTTCTTAAGAGGACGTTATATAGCCAATTTTAGAGTGTAAAAACATGTCTTCTTAAAATGCATTTTACACACTAAGTACTGCAATTAGAGCAATAACACGCTTTATAAAAACGAAAGAAAACAATATTTTGGAGATGATCTCATATTCGTTTTTGGATATATTGTATTAGTAAAGAGTTATAATTGATTGAAGTTTAATAAGAAAGTACATTTTCAAATTCAATTATCATGCTTAATATTAGGTTAATCTTAAAATGGATTTATGATTATCTTCGAAATATTGTCCTCTTTCAATTTTGTAATAGGTGTTAATGCTCTAAATGTAATACAGAGTGAGTAAAATGCATTCTTTTAAGATATGTTTTAGACCTTTTTTGTAAAATTTTTTGGTCGACTAGTGCTGCAGCTATCGATTATGTATGTATTTTAAAAATATTGACAAATGATGACGTGCGGTGTGGCTGGATAATTCGCCTAAAACGTTATCAATATTTCTTTAAATAATTTCGCCAACACGTGCGGACCAATTTTATTATGGCGGCACTCAATGTTTCAATTGTTATTACTATTCAGAATTTTAGCTTCGATGCGAAACCGACGTATTAATTTTACTATGAAGAATTTTTTTTTGTGTTTATTATATACTTTTTCTCAGCTCTCATCGAACCAATTTCTTTCAATGATATGTCAAAAAATCACAAATGGTATCTAGTTGAAGACATTACCTTCAAAAGTTGAAAAAAATTCCCTCGTTCCCCGTAAATGGGGGAAACCTCCAAAAAAATTACAAATTTAAAAATCGATAATTTTCATAAATTTTTAAATTTTTTTTACTAAAAACTGCCATAACTTTTTTAAAAATGAACATATCAATATCTTTTTTTTTTTATAGATACATAATATCCTTACCTATCATTTGGTATATTTTTTTTATAAATCTAACCCTTTACCTGCCCACAGGGGGGCATTTAAAATGACAACATTTTTACAAAAAAAAAACTTTTTCAACTTAACTTTTGAAAGTGTTCCGGAAAGTCACTTTTATATATATCTTAAATTAAAGCTAATGTAATATACTTTACTATGGAAAAAAAAATTTCGGACTTTATTTTATCTTCATGGTGAAAATGACTACCGAATGCTATCTTTGTGTTAAAATACTCGATTTTATTTTTTACATTTTACATGAATACAATTTTTACGGTGAAAATGGATACCGTAATCTATATTTGTATTAAAATTCTCGAATTTATATTTTACATTTTTAATTTTAAAATACTATAACTTTTTGAAAAATGTATGGACCAATACTTTTCGACATACTTTTTTTAAAAAATAAAACCATTTCCTTTTAAATGTTTATACATTGTAAATATATAAATAAGGAAATAGGAGATCATATAGATTTTGGAATAGTCCATCAACTTTTTAAATTAAACACTATCTACAGATTTTCATCGAAGCGTTTTTTATTATAGTGATTTTAATCACTGTCAGATATCATTATGCTTGACCCAACTATGCCACGTCACCACTATGCCGCGACCCCCCTGTGCTGGGTNATACTTGTCCCATCTATGCCTCGTCCACACTGTGCCTCGACCCCACTGTGCTACCGTTTTTTTATTTAAAACTGCCATAAATTTTGAAAAATAAATAAACAGAAATAATTTTTTTTTAATCCTGACCCTTTAACCGCCCTCAGGAGAGATTCAAAATGACAACTTTTTCACAAAAAATTCATTTTTTCAACTTAACTTTTGAAAGTGTTCCCGAAATACTGAACTTTTATGTATATCATAAATAAAATTAATATAATATGCTTTATTATGAAAAAAAAGATTCAGACTTTATTTAGTTTTCATAGTAAAAACGGACATCAAAGTTAATAAAAAAGTAAGATTTTTGTAAAAAAAATTTTATATTGAATGAAATGAAATGCAGAACTAAATTAATTTTAATTATTTAATTTAATTAAAAAACCAATCAAAATGTTGTTTAAAAAAATCTACACAATTGAGCGTATTGTAAAATTTATTATAATTGTAAAAATCCATTGTTAAATTAAACCAATATCATTTTTTTAGAAATTATTTATACAGTTATATAGTACCCAAAAATTTAGAATATTATAGAATGATTATGAAATTTTTTCGATTTTTGAGTGTAATGTCTTCGACTATATAAGATTTGTGATCTTCTGACGTATCGTTGAAAAAAATCATTTTGATGAGAGTTGAGAAAAAGTGGTAACAGACATAAAAATAATTCGAGGAGGTAAAATTAATACCTTCTCGGTTTTTCATCGAAGCTAAAACAAGTCTGTATACTTGTTTATGTAGCTCACGTTTAATTGACAAGATTCACAATCGTAATTGTTCATTAAAATATAATGAAAGTTACAAAAAATAAAATACATAGTATCTAATACAAATATCCACAATTATCAATTCGAAAAAAGGGTGATTTTAAAGTGCAGTAATAGTGTTTTGTCAATCGTATACGAATGCACAAAAAAACACAAGGCGATGCAGAAGCGCGTAATACGATAAAAACGCGGACTATGACACTCATAATATACTCATTATTCATTTTATTATGGTTGCAACACCATAATAGAAATTATAATATATTTGTCTATGGTTGCAACATTACTGAACTAGTTTACGATTCGCAAGAGGTGATTACTAGAGTATGGTAGTGGTGGCTGACGGTGTGACCTTGCCGCCGTTATGGAACACAACGCCATCTCTGAAGCGTTGTTTACGTGTCGTTTTTACTAGAACTACCTCATAACCTTGAAGAGGCAAAATAATCAAAATAAGTATATTTAATGTAAGTTAGATTCATGTGTAATAGAGAACAACTATTTTAATGATTATAGCAAAAATTACAAATATCGTCGCCATCATGCCAAAAGTGACCAAGTGCAAAATTCAATTTTAATTTAAATTCAATTTTTTATCCCTATGTGTGGAAAAAGTGATATTATGAATAGTTTAGGAACCTCTTAGTAAACCATTTTGACTGACTTGACTTTTAGCATAAATTGAGCAAGTAAAAACTGACTATGTTACTTGGTCATTTTTTTTTGCGAGTAGAAATAACAACTTTTTTGTCCAAGTGTCGAGTTGATCACTTTTTGTAAAACTATAAAAATATTTTTTCCCGCATGACCATATGGCCATATCTAAAATATAATTTCACATTGAAAAACTTCCTATAATGGAGTTTCACTATTGCAGAGCAATTTCTACACTGTCTATATCTAAAATGTATGAGCTCTATATACAGGATTGTAAGGAAAAAAAATTAGATCATAATTATTTTGATTGTTGTACCGTGTATCGAAAAATATTTTGTGAGCAATATAATTTGAGTTTTTATAAGCCAAAAAAAGATCAATATCTTCTATGTGAAAAATTTGAGATATCAGACAAACCACATAAACAACAAATATTAATGGAGTATAAAAATCTACTCAAAGACGGGATGAATCGTTTGCAGCTAAAAAGTTTGACAAAGAAAAAGCTTCAAACTGCAATAATTTTTGCAGTGCTACATTTTACTTATAAAGTGTTTTACAGATTCTTAGTTCTGATGTCTCTAGTATGTACTACAGTAGAAAACTATGTACTCGCAATTTAACTTAGTATGAGGCTGCACTCCCAAATAATGCCTTTTGTTTTTTATGGAATGAAGTAAACGGACAAAAAGGAAGTTCAGAAATTGGTACAGCTTTACTAAAATGGATCAAACAGCTCCCAGTAAATATAACTAATATTTCCCTATTTTCTGATACTTGCAGTGGTCAAAATAGGAATCAATATATAGCAGCTTTATTCTTATACATTACATTGTCACACATTTAAAAATTGATGTTATAACACATAATTTTATGGAGAGTGGACAGTATGTAAAGCACAATTGAGCCAGCAAAGAAAAATATTCCTGTGTATACTATGCATGAATGTCTTAATATTTGTCGACTAGCTTGTTCTAATAGGTATAATAAAAAATAGAACTCGAGGAAAAATTGCTGAATGTAATAAGTGCTTATGCACCACAAGCAGAATATGATGAAATAGACAGGAAGCGTTTTGGAGAGAGATGTATGAGGTGATGCAAAGGGTACCTTGCAATGAGGATGCGGTGATAGGTGGAGATATGAATGGGCATGTAGGTAATGAGAGGAGAGGATATGAAAGAATACATGGAGAATATGGTTTTAGTGGGAAGAATGAGGCTGGAAAAAGAATCCTGGATTTCGCAGTATCGTATGATCTCGCTGTGGTTAATACTTATTTTAGAAAGTGGAAAGAACAATATATAACTTATAAGAATGGGAGGAATAGATCACAGATTGATTATTTTATGTGAAAGAGAGAGAGCGTAAAGCGAGTAAAGGATTGAAAAGTTATACCAGGCGAGTGTAACTACACAACATAAACTGATGGTAATGGAGTTGTGATGTACCGGAAAGAGAATATTCAAAAATAGAAGGAACACGGGGGAAAAATCGAAGATCCGTTGGTGGAAAATGAAAAGGCGTTTGTAAAGACAGTAGAAAAGAGAACGGTGTGGAATGTCGAGGGAGACATACATGATGTGTGAAATAGATTTGCTAGTTGTATAAAGAATATTGCTAAGGAGATTGTTGGTAAGAGTAGGAGTAAAATGCCAAGAAAGAAGGAAACCTGGTGGTGGAATGAGGACGTTCAAAAAATCATAGAAAATAAGTAAAAGCAAAATAAGTATGTCAGAAGAGCAAAAGGAGAGAAGATTGAATGGAATATAAACGCAATGTGTAAAGAAGCCAAGTGTGCAGAAAGTAAGGCGAAATTAAAGAAGTATGATGAGTTATATTATAGACTAGGAACAAAGGAAGGCAAGAAAGAAATCTATAGACTTGCAAAAGTAAGAAAGAAAAGGACTAAAGATTATCGTTATAAAAGGTGTATAAAAAGTGTTGATAATAGGGTACTCTCGAGTGATGATGATGTGAAAAAAGGTGGAAAGAGTATTTTGAAAAATTACTCAATGAGAAGTACCTAAAAGAGACGTTAGTGGACATCTCGTGGAATGAGGGACTGGTAGATTTAATTAGTGAGAAAGAGGTATTGGAGGCTGTGAAAAAGAATAAAGCAGTAGGATCAGATGAAGTGCTAGTAGAAGTATGGAAAATATTAGGCCGTGTTGATAAAAGGTGGTTGAAAGAACTTTTAAATAAAATCTTATTAGAAGGGAAAATTCCAAATGAATGAAGGAATAGTATTGTAGTGCCGATATTTAAAAGTAAAGGTAACATACAGGAGTGTGGAAATTATAGAGGCATAAAGCTTATGAGTTGTAGTATGAAAATTTGGGAAAAGGTAATAGATAAGAGAATAAGAAATGAGACATCGGTATCTAAAAACCAGTTTGGATTTATGCCTGGTAAGTCAACAATGAAGCCAATATTTTGTGTACTAATAGAAAAGTTTATGGAAAAAAAGAAAAAGCTTTGTATGGTATTTATAAATTTGAAGAAAGCGTATGATAGAATACCGAGAGAGGTTCTAAAGTAGGCATTAATGAGAAAAGGAGTTCCGAAAAGGTACATTAATATAATAGAAGATATGTATGATGGCACCTGTACCAGGGTAAAAAACGTAGGAGTGACAGAAACCTTTACTTATTTTCTATAGTGATGGATGAAATTTCTAAAGAAATGCAAGGAGAGGTGCTGTGGTGCATGTTGATATAGTGTTAATAGGATAAAATAGGGAGGAAATTAATCAAAGACTAGAGGCGTGGAGATCAGCTCTTGAAGAAAAGGGTTTAAGAATAAGTAGGAGTAAGACAGAGTATACAGAGTACGAGTTTGATAAAGGAGAACACGAGGTAAGTGAAACAAGGAGACCAGTGACAATAGGCGAGGACGTGATTGGAGAGGTGGAAAGTTTTAAGTATTTAGTGTTAGTTGTGAAAAAGAGCGGTTGTTATGACGAGGATGTAAGACACTGAATTAAGTGCGGGTGGTTGAAGTGGAGAGAAGCATCTGGTGTCTTATGCGATAAAAAAATTCCAATGAGGCTGAATGATAAATTCTACAAGACTGTAGTGAAACCAGCTATGATGTATGGTTAAGAGTGTTGGGTAATTGATATGAAAGTAGATCAGAGAAGAGAATGCTTAGATGAATGAGTGGAATGACTAGAAAAGATAGGATAAGGAATGAGCATATAAGAAGGAGTATAGATGTAGCGTCAATCGTGGATAAGATGAGAGAAAATAAACTTAGATGGTTTGGTCATGTTATGAAGAGAGAAGAATCGGAAGCTGTAAAAACAGTTGTAGAAATGAATGTTGAAGGAAAAAGAGGTAGAGGAAGACCAAAAAAGAGATAGAGAGATGTTATTGAATGCAATATGAGGACAGCTGATGTGGGAGATCGTGTCAAGTGGAAGTTTAAGATAAGGGTGGCCGACCCCAAGTAGTTGGGATTTAGGCGAGGAAGAATTAGACACTGTGGCGTACTTGGTATATATATGCTTTAGGCGAGGCTGTTCCGAAATTAAAAATATAAAGTTAATGAAAAAAGAATTTTTCCTGATTGAATAATTTATTTAAAATTGTGTAACCTTTATTTATAATAATTTTTTGGTAACATCTTCATATGAAATATAGTGGACTAAAACAATAAAATATTGCAATGAGGCAATACCATTTCTCTAAACATAGACGCAATTTGGATAAAATGATTGGATCTAACTTAATTTTTCTCCTCCTTAAAAATATTTGTACATAAATTAACATGTTATTTTCATAATTTTCAGAAAAAAAATAATCATGGTAAAATTAATACCATCTCACCTTCGCATCGAAGCTAAAAATAGCAGTTCATGATTCTTTTGGAAAAATTATTAAGTATTTGTATATTTCGTTACATTTGTGCATAAGTATATCAAAATTGTAGAAATGGATTTATAAAAAAAAACAGAAAGCTAACTTTTTTAATTTCATTTTATTCTGACCTTCGTTTGTTAATTATTATTTCAATTATGAAATTAAAATTGTAATTTATTCAATGTGCCATTGGTATCTAAAATATTTCAGTGGGGTTAAATATTGAACTTACCATTTCTACTATATGATTATACTGTTTCTGTCATATAGACTTGAATATTTGAAAAAATTAAAGTAAAAAGTTCTAACAAAAAAACTGATTTTTGACAGAAAATCAACGAATTTTTGACATTACAAGGTGCCTGTACAAATTTTTTTTAACTTATAATTTATAATACTTTACTTTTTTTTAATGTTAGAAATTATTTCGGAGTATTTTAGAACATTTTCAAAAGTTGTCATTTTAAATTCCCCTTATGATCAGGTAATCAGTCAAATTTAAAAAATATACGTACTAAATAAAAGCGAAATATTTAAGATAATTATGGTTTAACATTAAATATTATCGAACTTGGGAAATTTATAATATCAGTCATAATTCAAACTATTTAATATTAATGTTTATTTTAAACAAGTAATACTTTACAACTTCACCTGTTTTTTTGTGTTAGTAGTTTAAAACAATAATACAGTATGGATATTTAAACTGTTTAAACAATTATTTAAAGTCTTTTTTAAATCATGCAGTTTAAATTGTTAAACTTAAAAATCAAAATTGTCATCATAATAATTAAAAAAAGAATTTTTGTTATCTTCAATGTATAATTTTATTTAAAAAATATTCTCTTTTAAAAATAACTTAACTATATTGGATTGCATTTATAAACTTTATATGTTGAATAACAAACTATAATTTGGGGATAAAAAGTCATAATCTACATTTGTTGAGTTGTTTCAGTTTTGTATTAAGTTGTTTTTTTTACATTATTTCAAACATTTTTTACTTGTATTCTAAAATAATAATTAAATATCATTCAACAGTTATAAATATGCCTAATTATTATTTGATTTTGATAGGTGTCATAGCTCTTCTGTAATCGCTTCTAATGTTAATATTTGAATAATAAATATATTTGCATCTAAATTATAATATTTATTGAATATTATTGTACAAAACTACAATTAAATATAAAATATTGAACAACTTTATTATAAAGTTAAATCAGTAAAAATACTATAGTACATAGTAAAATTTCATTAAAGTTTCAGCTCTCTAAAACTATTTTTTAAAAATATAGTTTATATCTTTATCAGTAGTATGGTCGACGTGGATTATTCTAAAACAAAAATATTTTATAATTTATATAAATTAAATAAATAAAAAGTAAATGTATGAAATGTTTAAAGTGCCAAAAAACCTGCAATATACACAAGTTCTATCAGTATGGTACTCAGAATAAGAGTTATGAAATAAATGTTATGTAAATAATGTTTCTAATGAAAACTAGTCACTATTATAAGAGTGCTAAATGCAATACAATTAAAATACCTTGAGTATTAACTTCAAAATAAAGTTAATGAACAAAAAAATTTGTTTTACTATATATAAAAATTATATAAAAGCATCGCAAATTTTTTTTTTTCAAAACCAGGCTCTATTATTTCTAACTCTTATTAGAAAACACTGGTTTAATAATATATGTTTAAATATCACTTAAAATACATAGCATAAAATGAAATAATTTCCAATTTTTTTGCATCACATAATAATAAAAAAAAAATCTTACTAATGGATTTGGGCGGAAACGATATGCAAGCATCATACGTTTTCTATATGCATCAAACTCATCATCATTTTGTCTTAATTCTGATGGTCTTTCAACACCTAAACCTTGGTTGTCATTATGAGATCCTCCCCTGTTGAATAAATATAACAATTGTAAAAAAAAATATAAAATATTTTTAAATATAAACAAAGAAAAAATGTTTTGATTAATTATTTGACTAATTGATTAATTCTTGTGGCTTATACAATACAAATACAATAAAAAAATTATAATGGCTGTAGAGTTAAAGTTAATTTAAATAAAATGAGAAGAATTTATTTTATTATGTTTCACTACTGATAAAGTTGGCAACTGGTAAAAGATACCAGTGGCATAGCCAGTATTTTTGCTTTGGAAGAAATAAAGACAATTTTTTTTAAGTCTAAAACGTACTCTTACTAATGCTAACGTCATTTACCATTAATAGTAATAATTGTCTAATAAGAGGGGGGATGGCTTTTTATAGCCTCTTTAGCCTCCCTCCTCTAGCCACTATCACTGAAACATACTATTTTTAAATAAAACTGTAGTTTTCATTTAATTAAGCTGAATAATAAAATCATTCAGTTTAACAAAGGATATTCATTCTACATTAAAATAGATCTAATTCAAAATTTATAATCAATAGTAATTTATTTACTTGTTGACAGGTTCTACTATTCCAGTTCCACTAGAACCTAAACCTTGCCCTTCAGACCAACCAAGTTTTTGTAACATTTGGAAGCCTATATTATTTTCTTTTAACTTGAATTCTTTATAATCAGATAGATCAGGTTCACGATCTTCTTTCAAAGCTGAGTACTAAAAAAAAAAAATGATTGGAAATATTTAGATATTTTATCAAGTACACTGAAATGAAGGGGTCCCAGTGATATTTTTCAAAAAATGATTTAAGAGAAAAAGTAAAAATACCATTATTTTAATAGATTTAATGAAATACTTATAATATATTTTTTGTCACTTTGACCCCTTAATGTGTAGGTTCTTCATATTTTAATTATGTATAAGTTAGTACATTAAAATGCTGAAAATTTAAAAATAAATAACAATTCATCTTGAAATTTAATTTTTAAACACAACAAACATACTTTTTCCATGAACCTGGCAAGTTCATCAGGAGGTAAAAAATCTCCAATATGATGTTTGTCTTTAGATTTTTCAGTTAATTCCTCTGCCCATCTTTCAGTTGCCATCATTTCTTCTCTTCGTAACTTATGTTCCCAGGTACCACCTTCAGTATCTTCATCGCTATCATATTCATATTTAAATTTTCCAGCTTTTTTTAGACGTTCTATTTCTTGACGTTTTTTTAGCATTTCTTGATAAAGTAAATTTATCTAAAACCATATATCTTATTAATAAAATTATATAGTTGAATAATATAAAGCCAAGTAATAAATAGAAATACTTTGATTTTTTTTAAATAAAATTTTATAAAAAAAATAAGAGATTCTAATGAATTTTGAAATCAATAAAAATTTAACATACACTTATTTTTTCGGAAAACTTTAAATTTTTGTAGAGAAATATATTGTATGATTTAAAAAAATTTACAATAATACATAGTTAAATGATTTTTTTCATTACTCAGGGATAAAAAATATTAAAATTACTTTTCTTAAATGAGATCATCTATTTTTACTTTGATAATACGAGGAAAATTTTTTACAAAAAATTCTATTTTTATAATTTTTTTATTCAATAAACCATTTGTTTTTTTTTTTTTAAATTGTTTAAAGATTTAGATTCAAAATAGACATTTATCACTAATTTGGTTTTTGTAATACTGGAGGTAGCAATCTGTTCAATGAGCCATAAATTATTTTTATGGCAGTTTTCAAAAAAATTTTCCACATTGGTTTTTCAACAATGTATGATAGTAAACTTGTATGGAATATAATATAAATAAGAAATATGTCTATTAATAGTCATCAATAATTTCTGTATACAAAACAATAAAATAACATTAGAAATTTGGTTTAAAAACACTTAACTTTAATAAAATTTTGCACTTTATTTGTCGAGATAATCAGTTGATCCAATAAAAAAAAAATGATAATAAAATTATTTGGAATTTTTTTTTTTAAATATATTATCAAAGTAAAATTAGGGATTCTCATTAAAAAAAAAATAATTTCATTCCTTCAAATGAAAAAAAAATGATTGTAAAGTATTTTAAATCAATTATACACAAATTTAAAATTTTCTAAGAAAATGAGTGTCTAATTCTTATTGAAACACTGTATACAGAATGGAATAGATATAACTGACATTTCTTACAACTTTTGATTTAATAATAATTTTGTTGTAATTTTTTTTTAACAGATTTGCATTCTTAGACATCATTAAAGCATATTAGAATTTTTTATTATTTGTCTAGGATAATAAAAAATTTGCAAGTTATTTATTTAAAAGCATTTTATTTTTCTCCAACTTACACATAATTAGGAAATAGTATGAGTTATGTTAGAGCTTTTGATATATCCTTTATTTTAAATAATATACAGTGCACTTATGCAATTTATTATAGTTTTAATAGAACATCTAAAAGTTTGTAAAAATTAACTGGTGATAATTTTGAAATTGTTGATTCATTTTGAATTTATTGTTCATAATATCATATTAATTTTATAATTACTCATTAGGGCTGACCCCAAGTAGTTGGGATTAAGGCGAGAAAAAAGAAGAAGATTTTATTAATATTCATTTGATGGATATGATAGAGGTTACTTCACCATTCTTCAACAATATGAATCAATAAAAGTTCTTACTTTATAATGGTCTTCAGCTTTTTTCCAATCTTCTTCAGATAAATTGACAGTTCCAAATGATTGCATTGCATATTGTAAGAGTGCTGGATCTGATCGACCAACTTGGCTTATCATTGGTCCAGACATACCAGGAATACCACCTATGATAAAATAATGATTAAACTATTTTAATTAATATATTAAACTTTAATTAAATATTCTTTTACACATTTAATCAAATACTTACCAAGTTTTTGAACATTGAAAGGCTGAGAAGGTGTTTTCACAGTATTTGCTAATGGAATTCCTACATTAGAAGAAACATTAGGGATCTTCACATTATCACTTTCCCACCTACTTTTACGTTTACGTTTTTTATTAGAACTATCATGATTTTCAGAACTACATATTTCTTGGTTGACTGATGATGGTATGATTTCAGTAGGGGTAAGTTTATTTGCTACAATTTTAGCTCTTAAATAACTAACTCTTTGTCTAAAAATTGCATAAGCTGTAGAATTTTTGTCTCTTAAAAATCTAAGAAATTATGATTGATTTAAAAAATTAAAGATATAAAATTATTATATTAACTTTAACATACAATAAATTAACATCTTGAGGACGTTCTTGTAATATTATATTTTCTATTTCATCACCAAACTCAGCTACAGTGGCAGCCAAACTTTCAACATCTTCATTATTGAGTATAGCTTGTGGGTCACATCTCAGCACTGTATTCAAAGCTAGACAACTCTGAATCAGCTCAATGTGTGATTAACAGGTAAGCCCTTCCCTCCTCCCCCCATACAACCCAAATTTTGTAACAAGTCATAAATGAATGTGAATAATACATAATTAACAATTTTCTTAACAGTACCTCTTGGAACTGCAGTGAAGGTTTCTATCGTCTGTGGCGGAACATTCAATAAATGTGTAGCATTTGGAGATGGCCCCAAAGATACTGTAGACGTCTCAGTTACTATAAAAGAAGGTTGTTCATCAGCACTTTGAGGTACTGTTGCTGTTGTTGTGGTATCAGTTACTATAGTAGCAGTTAACGGAGGAGTCTGCATGGGATACTGTTGATATTGACCTATCTACAAGGATAGGATTAATTTATATTTATAATTAAATATTAAAAATGAATTGTAATTTTTTTTTTTGCCAATGAAAAATTAATAGAATATGTTAGAATTTACTTTATCATTATTTGGTGGCAGAAAAACTGGGTTTTGTGTTTGATATAATGATGTAGGTTGTGAAATTTGCAATATAGGGTGAGTAGTAACTATGGAAACAGTAGGAACTTGAACGACAGTAGTTTGTGGTTGAATTGAAGTTACTTGAATTGATGGAGAACTGTAATAATTAGGAGACTGATATGATTGATTTAAATTGTAACTCATAAATTGATGTTCAGGCATTGGCAAAAAATTCTCAGATTTAAATGGTTCATTACAATAAATTTGCTCTAAAAAATACACATACATATATATAATATTTAATAACAGCAGATACTAAACCGAAAATTTTTTATATTTTAATAATTTTATAATAGTAATATAATTTGCACTCAAGAATAAATTAAACATTATTTCTCTTAAAATAATAACCCAATCAAGAAAATTGTTATTTTTAGATTTATCAACTATTAATTACTTTTTTAATTCATTCCTTACACCTTATAAGGGTATTAACTTAATTTTTTTATATACCAGCATACAAATTTAACTAGCTTATAAAATAAAAAATATTCTAATTAAAAATATGACAAGTCAATAACAATTTTTGACCCAATATTTCAGAAGTTATTACTATTTAAAATATAAACTTAAGATGATGTATAGGTATATATTTTTAGACATCTTGCGGCTACACCACTTCTTTCGCTTAGGTATCAAAATGTAATTAACTTCCTAAGAAACTTCTCCAAAAATTGTAATTGACAAGTTATATTCTTAATTGGATAATTTTTTTTATTTTATAAGCTAATTATACAAGGTTTAGGACTTAATATTTGCTTATTTTTATTATTTGAAATATACATTAGCAAAATTCTATAGATGTTTATATCATGTTATAACATTTAAAAAGGATGTAAAAAATAAATTTTTTTTTTGCTATATTTGATGATATTTAAAAAAGTTGCTATATACAATATTCATTTTTTATGTTTTTAAAACCTAAGTAAACATTAGATTATTCATTACAATAATAACTGTAAGAATTTTTTAGGAATTAATTTAACTTTTTGATTGAACAAATAAATTTTTCCTAAAGTATTTATGATAAAATTACTAATATTTTATATTTTTTACATTTTAACCTTCCAAGAATCTATAAAAAAGGTATATTAAAATTCCAAAAAAAAAAAATATTTTTTATAAAAGTGTATTTTTTGATTTTATTATTATTTACTAACATTAACGGGGAGCTAGTAGGGTGGCACAAAAAAAATTGACCCTAAAATTTTTTATCAGACACCCCTATATTTATTAAGTATATTAAAAGAAATGTTTTAAAAATTTGAGATCTATAAAAAAAATTTTATAGGTCGCTCAAAGTGTTTTTCTTATTTTTACCAAAAATATTAAAATTAATTAAAATATGATTAAAATTTTAAATTTTGGTCAATTATAATAAACAGTATATGTAAAATGTTGTATTTTTAACATAGAAAACGATTTAATAATTTTTTAATTTCTACGACCTATATTGATTACGTAATTTACCTAAACGTCCAAGTATATGGTACTTTTCAGATCAATCTGAAAGGGGCCTAATATTATTTTTAAGTTATAAGTTTTTAAGTTTTGAAAAATTGATTGATGTGTATATTCTATGGTGTCCAATTTTTTTTTTACTATTAATAAAATATAATACCAAAAATCTAATTCTTGTACTTAATAGTGTTTATCGAATAATCTAGGCATAAGCTTATCAAAAACTAGACTAATGATTATTTCGTGTATTATGATGCCTGCATGCAAAATTCAGTAATTTCTTATCTAATTTATTCTCAATCAAAGTGCATGCTCCGTTTAACATTCCTGTATTAGAAGCTGTAGTGTCAAAACACATCACAGTGGTGCGATCAATTAAATTCCAGTATAATAGTAATTTTACAACGGCATCAATAATGTGATTGTTCGGTTGACTTAAGTAACTGTGGTACACGAAGAAGCTTTGTATTTTTGTCACCAGACACTATTACAGCTAATCTTTCAAAAAAATTTTTTTTTTCAGATGGTAACATTTTCCCATCCCAATGGACCATTAATGTACAATGAAGTTTAAATAAATTTAATATTTCTTCTGATATAATTTTTCTATCTATTTAAGTTCTTCTTATTGTGTCTTTTCTAATTGATACGTCTTTTATTTCTTTACCTGAATTTGTTAAAGCCGATGCTAAAATATATGTGGCATTTCGATTAGATACGTTAGTTCTATCAAGCGCCAATGTTAAGAAAAGTGTTTAATTGGTTTATTTACACCAGGGCACCACATACTCATAGTTGAGCTGTAGGGTCGTTTGTGCTGATCAGGCACTAGTATAGTTGATAATTGTTAATGTTGGTGAAGGACAAATAATCTGCCCATAAAAGTATAGCTCCTCAAAATAATGTGTTTTAGTTACACAGATTATTATGTATAAATTTGATTATAATATTCTATTACTTTTTATCATATAATTTAAAATCAGAATAATTGAAACATTATTGAAATTCCAAAAATTACCAGTGAAGATTAATAACATCAATCATAAAATTCATAATGTAATCTAAGGATACATTTTGCTCTCTTATTAATATAATCTGTAATAATGAGCAGATAAAATATATTTTCCATTTTTTTTTTAAATAAATGTCAGTTAACTATGAATAATTTTAAAACATTAGTTTTCTTAATCTTTAACTGCTTATATTCTTTTAACATATGCAGATTTTACCATCTTCTTTACAATAAACATAAGCTTTTGAGAAAGAATGTTACATAAATACAAAATTATAACCAGGTATTCTAACTGATATACATATTAAAAATCCTTACTTCCTCGCTCAAACTAAATTAATGGTTTATCAAACGAAGACATGAGTGCACTTACTGCCATATAAGTCAATAATAATTCAAATTTTTAAATATAATAAATTGTATGTTATTTAAAAACAAATAGTAATTATAGATAACAAAATTCTGAATTTTTTTTTATTACGTACTTTACTTTGTTTTTGTAAAAAACTTATTTTATTTAACTCCTAAGTACAATTAACTATCAATATATTATTTATAAAATTTTACCCAAATTAGCTTTAATACAAAAAATAAATTTTAGTAAGGCCAACAGGGTGAAGTTTTATACTATATAATAATTTATGTGTAGATTTATAATCGGACATATTTTGAATAATCTGAAATATTGATCATTTAAAATAAATATACAAAGTATAAATAAAAAAATTGATGTTATTGAATTTAAAAAGAAGTTATATTATTACTTTTTAATTTTAATAATAATTAACTAATTAGTAAATTGTTATAAGTTTTATTTAAATATAGTACTAAAATACCTGTTTTTGGTTCCGGTTCAACTTTAGAATTATCTTTGAATTCATTAACTTCATTATAATCTGAAATTTAAAATACATCATAGGCATTTTAATTACTATTATCCATTATATGCTAATTCATAGACAATAAAATTTTTTCTAAAACCAAAGAAAATTATTAAAAAAATAAATGCTGTGGTAACTTTTAAATAATCATACATTTAAAACTCCATTGACAGGAAATATGATTTTGAATGAACGTTTGATATCATGATATCAAAAGAAATTATTTAAACCAAAAAATACCTGTACAAGATTCATATTCTTTTTCAAAGACTTCAGATATGGAAAGTTTGCTTTTATGAGCTCCTGTTGATTCATAAGGAAGTTCTTCTTTAACAGGTTTCACTAGATTTTCATTTCTAAAAGATAGATAAAATTATTTTTAGAACTAGAACTCAAAATGGAATATAACAAACTTGAGCAAGCTCTTAGATTTTTGATAAAAAGACTTTATTTTATCTAATTTTAATGTATTTTTTGAGGTTGAAGGTAGTTTGTTTTTTTGTTTATTTTTCTCAGTTTCTTCAGCCATCTGCTTTTTTTTTTCTTCGAATTTAGCTTGAATCTCTCGTTTTTTTTGTTCAATTAACTGTTGCTGTTTAGACATCTCTTGAAATCTTTCACTTCTTGACTGTTTGGTAGGAGTAATTTCTGAAATTTTACCATTTCTAAACATTTTTACGAGTAATTGTTTGTTATTTATCTAGACACAATCAATTTTTTCGTTTCCTTCAGTAAGTACAAAAAGTGATTTAAATAATCATTTAAAACATATAAATTGATAAAAAAGATGAAACGTTGTATCAACAATTTAACAAAAATACATAATCAAACATAATACATAATAAAATGGAATTCTACAAGTATAAATAATACAGAGACATGCGTACAAGAGTACTCGTATTAATTTTATACAATTTAAAAACGTGGTAATTTAAGATTTTTAACAGTAATAACTAAAATGACTAAATAAATATTATGAAAATGAAGTTCAGTAAATAAGCATCATTAATATATACAATGTCAAATAAATAAGCTTCATGTCATTACACTACACTAATCGTATTTTCATGTTTCAATTATGTGATAACGAGTCCTATGTTTATTGAAACATTAATATCTAACGCCATGACTACAATAATCATGGCTCCGAGTGATCCGAGACATGGATCATGGCCTAAAATAATTTCATATTTATTCTGACAATTAAACCCCATTGTAAAACAATTATGAATATGAGAGTGGCAGTTTGTCAATATTTTTTTTGGGGAAGTCCTAACGAATAAAATTTATTTGGAATACGTACGAGTTTTACATATTATTATTATTCACATACCCTACATATTAAACAATGTAAAAATATTGGTGTCTGGTGTTCTAAACCCCTGTCCATCCCTAGTAAATACGCGACTGTTAACAGCTGTTAATTAAAATTAATCCTACGTAGCTTTATTTTAATTACTTGGTAAAGTTATATTGTCGAATTAGTTAGTATACTCAACAATTTGGTATTTACTAGTTAAGTATTTCTATTTTACCCAACTCAACGAAAACATCCTAGAATCTTTGAAATATATTAATATACATTTCAAAAGCGTAGTTAGGACCCGACTAGTAAAACATAATGATCTATTTATAATAAGTTGAAAGAGTAACAACACTTAAAATTCGTTAATGTATTTAAACTTATAATTATAATCAAAATAGGATAAAAACAAAATTTAAATATACTTCATACAATATTTAATACAGATAAAAAAATGATTAATACTTAGTATTTATCATTTGATGCAATAAGATTTTTTTAAAAAACTATACAATTCTGAAAATAAGAAAAAAATAATTATTATTTGGAATCAGGACAAAAATGTGACGTCGATTATAAGTCGGTACGTTTTACTGTTCCGATTATATCACTATATTTAACGGAAAACATGCTTAAAAATCGGGACGTCTGGTCACACTACCGAATATCGACATACCGCCTAGTATATATACATATATATATATTATTAAATTTTTATACAAAATATGTTTTTAATAAAAAAATTCTATTTTAGGAAAAATCATAGAAGACAAATGGTCAGTATGAATATTAGTCTGCATTCACTCTCTCTTATAGAGATTTTATTTGTAATATTATATAAAATTAATTTATGAACAATAAAAACTCAAAAGCTTTTCTCATAATTACCCTCGAACATTATTTTAAGCATAATTTGTTATTTTATTTTTTATACTTAATTATATAATGAGGGGGCAGCAGCTCAACCAAAAATCAATCATCACTAATCATTTCAGGATTGTGCCACTGTTGGGAATGAAAATTAATCCATCACGGCTACACGAATACCGAAAAAAGTCAGAAGTATTTCCAATTTAGGAAACTTAATTCTACGATAGAGCGTATTCCCTAAGGTATTTTTACGATTTTAACATCACCGAGCTTTAGCAGTAGAGATGAGTCGTTCGCGAACGAACAGATCGCATTGAACGGGTCAAAATAGTGAACGAAATGATTCAGATCGCCGAACCGAATCCCCCAAATACCTAATTTTTGCCTGTATAAATCACACTGAACCGATTCGATCGCTTACCAAATATCAATGATAACATATTCATATGTCATTTGTTTATACAACACATCCCTAATCTGAATCGCGAATCGAGAACCGTAAAAGAACCAAAACTATACTGAATGTTCGATTCAATTGACTCAAAATATCTTTTAGATCGCTAACAGGTCTTTGAACCGGATCTTCTAGTTGACCTGATTCGAATGAATCAGATCACTTAGGTGAATCATAATTTCCATCTTTAAATTGCTAAATTAGCAGCAATTGACATATTTGTAGCTCCCTTAAATAAACAATATTTTCTGGAGATGGAGAAGAAGACAAAAAAACTAAGCGGAGAAGCTACCCCATTGGATCTTTTATTCACACTCTTGAAATAGAATTATAAATTATAAAATGGAACAATAATTCCAACAAAAAATATTTTTAAGCTATGCCCATATCAATTAAAAAAGTTTTCGTGAGTTTTTGGAAATTAATTTTGATGTTATTTAAATCACAAATCAATTTTCGAATATCATATGCTTTTTATACTTTTTCTTCCATGATTCAGTATCTATAAATTTACTATCATTATTATCGTAAATTATTATGTACATATGCATATTTATAAATACATTAGTATACTACTGATTGCAATGTTATCCATTATTCGTCAGTTGTCTTGACGTACAACTAAAAAACACGAAATACTTCTTTTTAATCTTCTCCGCGTAACCAAATTTATACTGTGATCAGCGAATAATTTTCTCGCCGATTAAATCATCGTTTTGTTAAGACCAGAAAAATGTCAGAAGGTGAAGATACAACAGTGAAAAAAATTACTGTCACAGTAAAAACGCCCAAGGAAAAACAAACAGTCGAAATACACGAGAACGCTTCTATTAGTGAAGTAAGTTTTAATTATTTATTTTTGAATAACATAAATTCAAATCAGAATCTGTACATGTTAATTAAATATTTTATTTCATTTTTACATTTAAAGATTTCCGTCAATTACTTTTCTATGGTCATAATTGTTATTAGTTTTTAAGGTTATGTAGTTATTTCAGCTGACTCACTTAGCATATTTTAATATTTTACTTCTATTTAAAACAACTTATATAATTCATGCGAACCGGTATTATTTAGGGTCATTTAAAATTCAAAAAATTGTTGCATTTTTGAATTTCTATATACTTGAATATCATTAAAAAAAGTATTATTAATTTAATAAATTTCGATATTTTTGTAATTTATTAAAAAAACTTCTTAGGTTTAAATGTATTTTATCACCCCAACTGAATCTAACAAAAACTTTTTGTTGGATAAACGTAACTGAACATTTATAAGATTTAGATAAAGCTGCTATACATAGTAAATATTATAATAATAGGTGTATGATTATTTTATAATCTTAGTTTAAATAAGAATATAATAAAATTTTATCTTTTTCTTTATAAAGTTTAAATGTATTTAATTTTACATTGTTAAATTTTATGGCATCAATAGTTAGCATAGAGAAGAACGTAACAATGGTTGATTGTTTAAATTTTAGTTTTTCAGAGTTTCTTCAAAAGTATCACATTTTTATAAATAATAATCATTTTAATTATAATAATTATTCTATATTGTAGTATCAAATGATTTAATTTTAGTAAAAATGCAAACATTTAATGTAGTGAAAATATATTAAAACTATTATTGGACTTAATACTATTTAATGGACTACAAGCTTAAAATCATAATTGACATTTTTAAAATTGTCAAAGCTATCATAAATTATCAGTTGTGACCCAGAATTCTATTCAGTCAGTGTTTATTTTATATTATGCTTGTGGTTAAAATAACCACCATAAAAAAGGCTTCATTGCATTGAATCATGAAACTTCTATTCATTATTTATATCCTGATTACTATATTTATGATTTATAAGTATAATAAATACACATTATAAAAATTTTATTTAGTATGAAAATGAAATTCAATATTTTTTATTGTAATTTTCAAGTTGGTATCTAAAATATTTGAAAAGAAATTAAAGTAAAAAGTTATAACACAAAACACTAATTTATTACAGAATATTACATCTTTTGTTTAACTTCAGTAGCTATTTGTACATAGTTAATAAGGTATCGGGACAAATTTTTTTTAACTTGTAGTATGTTACATTTTATTTTACTTTACTTTAAAATATTTCAAGCTAGGAGTATTTTATGCAATAGTTGCTATTTAAATTGATGGATTTATTACTATGGCAAATCCTTATAAGGAATTTTAAAATAAAAAAAAATAATGAATTTTAAATCAAAAATAGTATGATCTTTAACTACGGCAGTAATTGCTACATAGAAAATAGGTCGTTGGGACATATTTTTTTTTTGAACTTCTAGTACATAACATAAGCTTTATTTTAACATATGTTTGAAAAACGCAGTATTCCCGTAACATTTTCTAAAGTTTAAGTTGAAAAAGTTAAATTTTTGTGCAGAAATTGCTATTTTGAATCTTCTCTTGCGGCCAGGTAATGGGTGACATGTAAAAAAAAAATTATACCAAATGAAAGGAAAATATCTCAAGTATTTATTAAAAAAATATATTGATTCATTCCTTTTTCAAAAAGTTATGGCAGTTTTAAGAAAAAAATTGTTAGCATCGAAATTTATTCATTTTAAAAATTGTAATCTTTTAAGGGAAATTTTTTCAATTTTTGAGGTTAATAACTTCAACTAGATACAATTAATATCTTTTGATGTATCATACAGTGAAATTGGTCCAGTGAGAACTCAGGAAAAATATAAAATTAATACATAGTAAAATTAATATCTTTTCAGATTTGCATTGAAACTAAAAAGTTATTATCCATCTAAGAGCTTGCATCAGTAAATTAATTTATTGATTTTAGGTCTTTACTGTAGATATATTTTTTTTATATTTATTCATTTCTTAATATCTTTAGTTTAAAGAAGAAGTTGCTAAACAGTTTAATGCCCAACCAGCACAATTATGTTTAATATTTGCTGGCAAAATTATGAAAGATCAAGATACACTTGCTTCTCATAATATAAAAGATGGATTGACAGTACATTTGGTTATAAAAAGTAATGCATCTCAAAATAATGCATCAACCAATACATCTACAAATACAAACTCGAGCCAAACTCCACAAAGACCTCCTGGTATTTTATATAAAAATACTAAATACTTATTTTAGGTAATGTTATTTTGTGCTATGCTATGTAATTTATATATTTTTAGCTGATATAAATGCTTCACCATTCAACTTGGGTATGTTAGGCGGTCTACCTGGAATGGAATCCATGGGATTTAGTTCTGCTAATTTCATGGAATTACAGCAACGTATGCAGCGTGAACTTCTTGATAATCCAGAAATGCTTAGAAATTTAGTTGATAGCCCTATGGTACAGCAAATGATGAGTGATCCAGCACATATGAGACAGTTAATTATGGCAAATCCTCAAATGCAACAGCTAGTAGAGGTTAATTGATAATATAATTATTTTTAATCATATTATATATATTTCTCACAAAAATAAAAAATTATTTGAAACATGTGATCAAAATTATTAGGATATTTCTAATATAGAAAACCAAATAATCTGCTAATATAATTATTCAAATTAAACATTAAAAAAAAAATGGTTTTTAATTATTTAGAGACACCCTGAAATAAACCATATGTTGAATAATCCTGAAGTGTTGCGTCAAACAATGGAAATGGCCAGAAACCCATCTATGTTACAAGAATTAATGCGCACTCAAGATAGAGCATTATCAAATTTAGAATCTATCCCTGGAGGCTATAGTGCACTTCAACGGATGTACAGAGATGTTCAAGAACCATTTATGAATGCTGCTACAGAAGAATTTAGCCGGAATACATTTGCTGCCTCTAATGATAGTGGAGGGGGTAAATAATTTTATAATATAATAATCTTGTATATTAGTTTACTCATAAAGTCTAATAAAGTTATCTGATTTTTTTTTTTTGTTTAGATCTTAAGTAACTTTAATTTTTAATATTCCGAGATTTTTATTTGATTTAATTAAACTTGCTAGTGTAAAATAATTTTATTGAATTGATATTAATAGATAATGTAATTTATTATATACTAGAGCAAAATCCTCAGCAAGGTCAAGAAAACCGAGATCCTTTACCTAACCCCTGGAGTGGATCAACAGGTACTAATACTTCAGATTCATCAACAAATACCCGATCATCACCTGCAAGTGGTGGTATTCCTAATCCAGGAGTTGGGGCTGGTTTATTTGGAAATGAAGCTATGAATTCTATGATGCAACAAATGATTGAAAATCCTCAAATTATGCAAAATATAATGAACACTCCTTATTTTCAATCTACATTACAGGCAATGACTAGTAATCCAAGCATGGCAAGTAATTTGCTTGGTAATAATCCATTACTTGCAAACAACCCGGAACTTCAGGTAAATAAATGATTCCAATTGATTTAGCTATTATTATAATTATTTAAATTACAAAATTTTTTAGTCTCAATTTCGTAGTATGATGCCTGCATTTTTACAACAAATGTCAAATCCTGCTGTTCAAGAGATGACAACTAATCCAAATGTTTTATCAGCACTTGATCAAATTCAGAGGGGACTTGAGGCATTACGGACTAATATGCCTAATGCTGGTGGAGCTCTGGGAGGACAATCTTTTTTTCCATCTTCTACTACAAATTCTACTCCTAATACTGATTCAACTGTACCCAATAATGCACCATCTAATGAAACAAATTTTGCTGATCTTATGCGAAGAATGGTTAGTAGTTAGATTATTATTTTCATATATTACACAATTTTTTTTTACCAAGTATAATGTAATAAATAACTTTACCAGAATATTTTTCTATTTAAAAAGGTGTTGTGTTATTTAAGTAATTTTTTATTAATATTTTATCATTATAAAATTGTTGATGATTTTATAATTTTGTTTATTTCATAAAAATTTACATTTAACTTAGTCATTAATATTAATATAAAATCTAAAATAATTGTTATGTAATATCTTAAAAAATATTCTACATTTTAAATTGTGTTTACAGATGTCTCAAATTCCAGATGTCAGCAATCCAGTAGCTAATGCTCAATCTCCAGAAGAAAGATACAGTTCACAGTTAGAGCAACTTTCTGCAATGGGCTTTGTTAACCGGGAAGCAAACTTGCAAGCACTAATTGCAACATTTGGTGACATTAATGCAGCTGTTGAAAGACTGCTTAGTAGTGGACAGTTGTCTACCTAACATTCCTTCCTTCCACCTGAAAAAATAAAATAAAATAATACACATTTAAAATTTTATAAATCCAAAAAATAACAAAGTACATTAATATTCCACTTTCTTTAGTTAAATACTATGCATTTCTTTTTTTCTATATGGTTTTAAAATACTAGAACTTGTAGAACACTTTTCATTCATTGTAATTACTTGTTATTTACTAAATAAATATATTTATTTAGCCTCCTAAATAATCCTATATATTTTGACTATATTGAAATAATTCTCCATTTTGTTGTATGTGGTATACCTAAGGTATATTAAATGTAATTGTTTTGTTTTTATTATTATTATTATTATTATTATTATCATAATTATTTACAATTCATAGTACTTGAGTTAAGTGTTGAAATTGCTTTGATATCACTACAATGGATTCTGTGTTTGTTGTGAATTTTTAGATATAAATATCAGTAAATTATTTATAATATATCATTTTTCTATATAAAACATGAAGATTATTATCTATTGATCATATATAATTGTCGGTGAATAGATGTTTTTTATCCAGCATATTAAGTGATTGTTGCTGTTATAATTAATTTAATATTAAATAATATATTATGAAATTAATTTTTTTGTTTTTTTTTCTCAATTCTTAACAAAAAAAAATTTATTTATAAAATGACTTGATTAAATTTTTAATTTGAAAGAAAAACAAAGATCATTAATTTTTAAAAGATTGTTGTTATACTGAAGTACTCAATATTTATAATTAACAAATAGAATAATTTAAAGTAAAGTCAAGAAAATTTTCAAAGTAGCGAAAAAGAATAATAACTTACTCGTCTCTAAATAAAGTTGGACATAGTTGAATAGATAAATAAAAAAATAAGCATCAGTTATTTATAATAAATTTTAAAATGTTTAAATTGAAAGAAAATTAAATATTTTATTTATTGGTAGCATATATTCAAATTATACAGGTAGCTATCAATGTATCAATTGCATCTCTGTGATCGAGTATCAAAAACGATTCTTACTGCTTCAACAATGGTCTCCCAATAATGTATTTTTAAGTTTTAACAGTTGGCATGAGTTATAAGCTAATGAAAATAACTAAGAGCAGTCGACCGATAATCACGTTTCAAATACAAGAGGACATTACCTCCAAAAATGTTATTTTGAGATAAACAGTTCCAAAGTTTCAACCTTCCACATGAATTACATTTTGTGTTGCATTGTTTTTAGAATTTACATTATTTTCTAGTCAATTTATTCAAGTCTTTTGCATATTTAAATAACAATTTATATTAAATAATTATATCAGTGGCGAAACCCGGTTCGGTTGGAAATTGTTTCTAAATTTTAAAATAATACTGAAAATATTAAATATATAAAAATATAAATTACAAAAATTAATCAGAAATTAAATATTAAAAAATATTCAAGTAATTTATAATAGTAACAATATTTTATTTGTATATTATACAATTTATAATTATGTACAATAAAAATCATTCAAAATTAAGCTATTTTATTTTATTATTTTTGAACCCCCTTTTCAAAAAAAAAAAATCTAGATATGTTTCTCAGCTATATTAAATGGGTAGAACACCTTTGGGTTCCAAATTATTTAAATACAGCTGTGGCAAAAAAATTATATTTATTTTAAAAGAAGATAAAGGGGTGAAATGCTGTTTAAAATATTCATAAAATAGTCAAGCTTTATTAAGTTTAGTTACAACTTATAAGTGTTCAATATGGCCCCCACAGGCCGTCCAACATACATCTATACGGTATTCGAATTTCTGTATTTAATTACAATACAACAACTTAATAATCTTGCTGTAATTTGTAAAATATAAATAATTTAGTTTAATTGGTTAATAGAATTGTCTTAATCGTATTTATCATTTTTATTTATGCGCCAAATTTATTATTCCAGGTTTTCACTTGAAGTCAGCTGTTATTTTATAGTCATGAGATTATTATATCTATTCTCTTTGAATTAACAACACTAGCACCCTCTAGTACAATTGATATTGAAACACATGTTTTGTAGATATTTTATATATGTATTTATTATATTATATTATGGTATATCTTATATATATTTTTTAATCAGTCACAAAAAAAATGGAGAGTTTTGGCTGCTACTGTCTCGTTTTCAATTTTTTATCAATTGTAGCATTGTTAATATAAGTCATTTTATTAAATCATTCATATTTTATGTAATAGACCAAATTTTAGTAAATGATGCAGTAAAAAAACCGGCGTTCTTTTTTAGTATTACAAATTGAAATTTTAGGTGTAAAATTATTGCAATGATAACAATGTTTAATGTTTCGAGTCAAAACGTGTGATTAACTTGAAAACTCAACATATCTTCGTTAAAATGAGCTAAAACCAACTTATATATTAAGAAAGCGTTTACTTGTAGACGTCATGCAAAAGAGGGACCGAGAGAAGGATCAAAACGGCAAAGATGATAAGCGGGGAGGAAAATCGACCGGATCAAGAGCAATGCATTCAGGTGTAGCTGGACGACATAGCTTGTCATCTTCAGCTAATTCCAGTGTACTCATGGTTGGACCGAATTTTCGAGTTGGAAAGAAAATTGGCTGTGGAAATTTTGGTGAACTTAGACTTGGTAAGTACAAAATATTATTTGTATAAATTAAAATTTCCCCTTAATAGGATGTGTATATTGCTTTTAAAGTTAACCTTTTTTTAAGAAATTTCTTTAATTTAGTATAAAATTATAATGAATTAGTTTCTTCAAATCATATTTGTGTTTTGAATGTGAGCTAAATTAAAGATAATTTTTGGTAAGTAGATTGAGTGAAGAACTAATGTAGAGACAGGCAAATTAACATTAGTAAATTTTACATTATGACAAATGTTTTTTATAGTTACATATTAAAATGTGAATTTTGTCATTGTTATGTGTTTTATTTTTAATTTTTGTAATAACTAAATACTGACCGAAACAAAAAACTTATTATTTTTTTAATTAAAAAAATTGTTATGTAACTTATACTTTAGAAATTATTATGTCTATTGTAACTCATCTATTTTTTAGTTATGTTTGTGATTATCACATATAAACCTAAAGGTAAATTATTTTATTGAAAACAATATATTTATGTAATTAATATAATTATGACTGTAGTAAACAACTTAATATTATATTATATAGATTTAATTTTTATTAAAATTCTCATTGTAAGAATTCCTTATGTATTTAGAGGATAGATGTCAAACCTCATTAAAATTTCCATTATTTGTAAATGATGGTTGTAAAATTTTCCATATGTATTGTCAAATGACAACACAATGTTTATGTCATTGCAGATATACAATACTAGACTGAATTTTAAAACAATATTTGATATGCTTGTATAATTTTGATATAGTGAAAATTGGCTAGACATTCGTTTCTTTTTTATCTTAACTGTCTAAAATTAGTTAAAAGCATATCAGCTAGTTTGACTAGGGCTGCATGAATATTGTATTACAAAATAATCGATACTTCATAAATATAATTCAAATAAAATTGATTATTTGATCAATTATAATTGATTATTCAATTAATAATAATCTTCCAATTATTAATAATAATAATTGAATCATAAATTTAAATCGATAATAATGATGGTTAATAAGTTAGTTATAATCTATAGTACTCTGTAAACTATTTATACTTTCAATAGCCACTACAGGCTTTGATTAAAATTATAATAATTCAAAAATAATTTTACGTTGTAAACTTTTTATTTATAGTCGGTTCTATTATATATTTAACATGCAATAAAAAAAAGTTTTAGTGTCAACTATACTAATAATTTAATTAAACTCTCTCAATTTTCTTTATATTTAGTTACAAATAAGTAAAAATATTTAAAATAAAACTTTAATTATTAGTAAAATAATTAATAAAATTTAATATTTAAAAAGTTTAGATTGTCTAATAAAAATAAAGTAAAATAAAAATAAAAACTCCCTACAATAATGTATACAATCAAGAAATATTAATAATGAAATGTGATACACACTACATGTTACAATAATGACATTAATTTGTGTGACAATTTTATGGTTATACTAATACTCATAAAGTTATAGTCTATGTCTCATTTTAGAGATTTGTTAATTGTGTAGATTAATGACAAATAAAGTCATTTTTTTGTCAAGTTGAATTAATGTTGTACAATTAAAAAAAAAATACAATTTATTTATAATATACGTAAAAAATTATTTTTAGTAACTTGCCCATAAGTAATTTTACAACAAATGGCTTTAAATATATTTAAAGCCTTTTATTTTATAATAAATTACCAATGTGCATTAACAAAAGCTTAAATATTATTATTTTTTACCTACTCTTCAAAGATAGATTCTAAAAATGAAATGATTATTGAATCAAAAGTTATAAGAATTATCAGTTAGATTTGTTCCAATCTATATAAAATACATTTATAAGCTGCTATCACTTTATTGGTGAATTTTCATGTAACTAAATTGGGTTATTCTTTTAAAGAAAGTCTTAGTGAAATTATTTAAAAACATCTTATATTATTATAAAAATAAGCAACATGTGGCAAGTGAAGTACGAAATGATGTTACAGTTATATGTAAAATTTGTTTAAAATAATATGCTAACTCTGGGTCAAATAACACTAATATGTGGAATCACTTAAAATTCAAGCATTAAATACATGAAACTAGATTGAATTCACAGAGAAATATTAGGGTTAGATACTGAAATTATCTTTGAAGAGCTAGAAAAAAAATATTAATGTTTTTATATATAAATTGATTAAAAAAACTTACTGTATGCATAGGCACAAAATTAGGATACTTAGAGGGACTTAAGTTCTCCAATTTAAAAAAATAAACTATATATATATATATATGTAATTGGACCTTTTCCGTTAATTCATCTATCACATCTATCATAAAATTTTAGCAAATGAAAAGTTAGATATAATAAGGCACTATAAATTTTGTTTAAATTGTTCTTATGAATGTAGATATACACTTAACAATTAATATACAAAGTGTCTCAGATTTTTCCGTTTTACATTAACTACTTCTATCTAAACTATGTATTTTTCTCTTATAAAAACAAACATTTTTGAGACTTAGATGTATTTTTTTCAGTGTTATTAGTTATTTCATGGACTATGAACATAGTAGGCAATATAAAAATATACTTTTAATAATCTGATAACCTGATCAAATACTGATTAATTTTAATAGTTTACATTTAAATTACAGTTATTATTTTAATGCTGTGAAAAATGACATTTTCACTAGGGTAGTTAGTAATTTTTCAAATTTGTAAACCATTTTCATAAAATTCCATTTCTTACAATTTTCATATTTACCTTTCATTTATTATGATTTTTATTTGGATTATGTCTTCAAACTATATTAAATAAGACTAATAAAAATTTCTTCTCTATTCCAATGGAATAGTATTCCTGGTCTTGATTGTTTATAGTATTGAAATTTTATTTAAACAAATTTTCAATGTAATGGTAATCTAACTTATAAAATTATGTACAGTTATAATCTGGATACCTAAAATAATTTATAGTTAATACAGAATAGTTAAAATAATGTGGGTCAATTTTGATTATCTGTTGGAACTGATAGTGTAGTCAAAAATTTATAAAAGGAGAATTGAAATGAAATTTTTAAATAATTATAAAAATTCATTAACTTGCAATTATCACTGACTAAACTTTTAATTATTTTAAGTGTAGTCGGTAACAATTGCATCATGACATTTGTTAAATCCATGTTAATAGAAAGTTTTTCATGAAGGCGTTTTAATGTGTAGGTTGGGTAGGTTAAGCAAATCTCTTGTCTTTTCTCCGGGTAATATGCTATGAATTAACCATAATTATGTAATTGTTTGGAGCCCTAATTAATATGTATTTTGTTTAAGTCACCTTCTAGGCACATAATTTCATGCAAACTTTTTTAAGTAATATTATAGAAATATTTTGTTTTCTCGATGGTAATAGCTCAAGCTTCATATAACTATATGCTCTTATCAAATATATTATTTAGTTTTAAGTAAAAAATATATAAATCAATAAAATATATACAGGATGGAATAGATCTAACTGATAACTTATAACTTTTGATGCAATTGAAATTTTGCTGTAATTTTTTTGTTTACAATTTTTGCATTCATAAAAAATTTTTATGGATTGATAACAACTTAAGGATATTAACTTATTAAGTTACAAACATTTTAATAGATAGAATGAATTTGTAGTGAGGTTAAGTGCAGCTTGTACTGATGTATTTTTATAACATATACTCCATCAAGGCTATATTCCAACTGTATGTATTAAAATACTTGTAACTCAATAAGTATTTATCCTAAAATTGTTAATGACTGATCGACTGACTCATCTTCAAAATTACAAGACCTTTTTCATATATTTAGTAACATGCAATTTGTGATAAAGGTAGTTATTATATTTTATGTAAAGGAAAAAATCTGAAAATCTAATTTTTAGTGGCACATTAAAATTATGTATTCTACTGGCATAAACTAGTAAAAAAACAATGATATTCTCAATAAAAACTAACTCAAAAAGAGCCAAGTTCCAACCCCCTCTTTCCCTAAAAAGTCCGTCTATCAATTTAATGATGTCTGCATTGTGTCCAAGTTTTTAAACTTCAATCCTACTTTCATGAACAACATTTGTATTGCATAAAACTTGGACAAGTACTGGCTAAGTATTCATCAAAAATTACATGGGAGATGAAAATAAGAGAACTCATAAGAAAAGATAAAATATTATATCGTCTAATGAAATTTTTTGAAAATTGTAGCAAAATTTGTTTTATGCTTTATTCAATTATTTGATAAAAATAAAGAATTTTGAATAAAGAAGTAATGTTGCTTATGAAAGTATGATTAAAGTTTATGAAATAAGAAAAAGCAACTTTGGCCATATTGTAGGTGTCATTACTTTGATAGGTAGATATTTTTTAGGAAGGCTCTTTGAACTCTTTGGAACTTGGAATTTTTTCTCAGATAAGTTTATAATAAGGATATAGTACACAATTTCATCCCAAAATTATTTTTTTTTAAGTAATTTATGCTGAAGTTAGTTTAAGACCTTTAGAATTTGATGTCAAATTTAAATTTCAAACTCCAATCAAAAGTAGTCTAATTTATTGATCGTGTGATTCTTCAAAATTAAATTAAGAAGAATATATTTAAAAAAAATGCATTAATAAAACAAAAATAATCAATCTTTCTCTCTTAATATAAAACAAGTCTAACCTTTTGTTGCTTAGCTAAAATGTCTATATAACATATGTGTACACAATTCTGATTTGCTTTGTTAAATGTTTTAAACGAAAATCCAATCATGGTGCTATGTGCTTAACAACTTTGTGGGGTTCTTAATATTTTTTTTATTTTTTTGGTAAGAAAATGATTATGCGAGTTCATATCTATAGTGATAGCTTTGTTTAAAGAATTTATTATAGTTTTAAATACTTTAAGTTGATTTATCTGAATTATGGCTTAATATGTCAATCAAAGTTAATAGTAAATGATATATTTAGTTTCCATTTTGAAGAGAATGGACGTAAATATTAAAGGTCATAATAAATATTTTCCTAGAGGTGAATTTAAAATGATTATCAATACATTTTTTTTTATATATGTTTTTTGGGATCTTAATGCAAAATTTCAACAATATTGGTAAAGAATAGTGACATGCGCTTTTTTATATGTTGAAATAAAATATCATTAAAATAATATAATTAACACAAATCTAAGATTTTTTACGACTTAATTGATAGAGTTTAAATTATAATGTTAAATTTATAGAATTTTAAATATTGTATTGATTTTCATAAAGGAATGCAATTAGTAGGGTTTTAAATGAATTTTAAATAATATACTTTATGAATTCTATTTTATTTCATTTAACCTATAGAAGTTAAAACCTTATGTAGTACGTAGCCATTAGGACATTTCATCCAAGATATTAGTAGGAACGCCCTTTTTATAGCTTTTGGCAATAGCTTAGTTCAAATGTACGTCATCTTGAAAATGATAAAAATTGATTAAACTCATTCATTTCTTTAAAAATTAAAAATAACTATTGTTCAGATGTCTGTAGGTACTGGTTGTTTTGATTAATTTTTATTTTATGACTGAAAACACGAATAAGTGTTTCTATGCTATAAATATTTTTATAATTAGTATATTTGTCGTGTTTTAATATTTACGATAATGGATTAATTGTTGTTGATATTGATTTAAGTCGTTTATCTCATCAAAAGTATCGAAATTAAATTCTACAGAACGATTGCAAAAGATAAAATAACTAACTGTAAATATATTTTCCTAATTAAATACGTTAAATTTATATTAATGAACTACTTTTGAGAAATTTTGATGATACTCGTTCAAGGATAAAAATTTGGGCAAAGATGTATAAAAGAACATTTTTTATCCATTTTTTAATCAAACACTTTAATTGAAATCATGAATCAGTTAACAATTCTAATATTTTATATTTGGATTCCTTAAGAGTGTGTTAAGAGTTTAATTATAACCTCTTTGTGTATATGTAGAAAAGGGCTCTTTTCATTTTAATATAGCTCTTGACACAACGTGTTATTATAACTTAACAATTGATCAAATTTACAATACATAGATTAAAATTGTAATTTTTAAATTTAAAATAATTAAAATTTTCTTAATTTTTTACGAATTAATCTTAATTAAAGTTCAAACAAGTTATGTGTAATAAATGTATTATATTTCATATTTATTTATTGTCGCTCTGTATATTTGAAAAAATTAAGTATTTTTTTTTTTTTTTTTGTGTCTGTTACCACTTTTTCTCAGCTCTCACCGAACGGATTTCTTTCAACGATACGTCAAAAGATCACAAATCGTATCTAGTCGAAGACATTACCCTTCAAAATTGAAAAAATTTCCCTCGTTCCCCGTAAATGGGGGAAACCTCCAAAAAAATTACAAATTTAAAAATCGCTAATTTTCGAAATTTTTT